AAGGAGCAGTTAATAATTACATGAGAAGAAAAAGATTTTGCATAAAGGAAGAGATATATATTGATTGTTAAATGATGTGAGGTATTGCTGCTATTACAAATGGGTACTTTGAATCCTAATAGGAATAGAAGAATAACAGTTTTAATACACACTTCCAATATGTACATAAAGAAATCTTTTTCAGATAGGGTTTGGACAGTTGGGACAGAACATGATCTGTCGTATAAACATGAGAACTTGGATTTCTTTGTCAACAATGTGGAGATATGAAAATTTGAATCTCCCTTTCCACGCAATGCCACATTTGTGCCCACAGTTTAATGTTATGAAGAGGTAGGAGTGCATCTTTTATTTATTAAAAATTAGAGAAATGTAAATGTAAAGAAACAGTTTCAGGGGTGCCAAAGACACTGACAATTTTGCTGAAGACTTCAGAGCATATGGTAAATCAGCTAATTTGTATATAAATATTTTTTGACTAAAGACCAAATTTAGGGGCAGCTAGGTGGCACAGTGAATAGAGCTCTGGTCTTGGAATCAGGAGGACCTGAGTTCAAATCCAGCCTCAGACACTTAACACTAGCTGTGTGACCCTGGGCAAGTCACTTAACCCCAATTGCCTCACCAAAAAGAAAAAAAAAACTAAATTTATGACTAAACTAAAGAAAAATAAGAAATTATATAGAATCCAAGTTCCAAATTGGTATAGACCTTTTTCTTCATTGGTAGAGATCAGGGTCCTGCAGCTGGGTGAGGAGCATGGTGGAGTTGGAGAGAGCAGAAGAAAAGAGAGTTCATCAGTGTCTTCAGGCCTCTTGAGTGTCTTCCAAGTCTATTCAGGCTCTGCATTTGCTTTGAGCCCTTCTGGCTTTCAATTTCAAGAAAGAAGATGGTTGATGTTAATCCTACTTCAGGTTACTGAAAGAAAAAGAAGACTCTGGGAAGAAGCCAACATGAAAGGAGCTAGCAGTCTCCATCATGTCCCCAGCTTTCTATACTTAGGATTTTGATAACTTGGGTGAGATCTGAGACTTTCTGTCTCTCTGTCTCTCTGTCTCTGTCTCTGTCTCTGTCTCTCTGTCTCTCTCTCTCTCTCTCTCTCTCTCTCTCTCTCTCTCTCTCTCTCTCTCTCTCTCTCTCTCTCTCTCTCTCCCTCTCCCCCCGCTTTGAGCTGAGTTACCTCACTCCCAGTGGGAAAGCTCTTTCACTATGTGTGGTCTGGTATATATTCTCCTATGTAGACTTTCTCTGACTTCGGTTTTGCTGTTGACTTATATAAATGTTTTGGGGGTTTTTGGTTGTTTTTTTTTTTTTTGCTTTTAGTTTTTGCTAGTTGCTATGTGTGTGATCATTGTGAAAATGGTATTTGGTGAGAAAGAAGTCAGGCTTTGAATAAAGATCTTGGGGTCTGTCCTCTTCTCCCCATTAATGGCTAACAGCCAGAAGTTTAGCTTGAACCTGAAAACTATATCACCTAGACTAACAATACTTAAGGGAACAGATAGATAAAATTCTAGCCAGTAACCCCTCTCTTTGAGAAGAGCAGAGTGATTGAGCTTCTGGCCCTAACCTCCTGTTTCCCCTCCCTGCAGGAATTAAAGTCTTTCTTGAAGAATGGGAGTAGGGGGAGAAGAGGCTAGAAATGTCTATTCTGCCTCCCTTTGAGACACACCCTCTGTGTTACATGAGGGACGACTGTCACTACACACATAAACTTTTGGAGGCTGAAGCATGATTTTAAAAGAAACTCTCAGTTTGATAGGAGGAATTTGAGGAGTTGTGACTTTTTAAGGGAAAAAAAAGAGTGATTGAGAGTAAAGAGACTGTCATGTAAGTCGCAGAGGAACTGGTAGAAGAGGGAAGGTAGAGGAACCAGAACCTGGAAGAAGCATGATAGAGAGGCTGTAAGCTACTATGGGACAGTTAAAAGCGGTCAGTTGATGATGAAGCCTTCAGCTAAGTAACTGCTGATTGGAGAGAAAATTTACTTCATTGGCCAAGGCAGCTATTGCTCTTCATCTAAATCTCAAAGTTGGAAAGAGGTAAAGTTTCTTGTAAAGATTTGTTGCTGTCTGCCGCTGCCTCTGGCTTGAAGAGGAAAAGCTGAGGTCTGGCTTTGCAGCTGCTTTAAAAATGTGTTGGTGAGTGTCAGCCTGAATTATGTTGCTGTAACGCATGTTCTGACAGACATCTGAATGAATGAATAACTGACTGTTGTGGTTTGTAGAGCCTAGAGATGAGTAGTTCGATGACTTTAGTGTTTACTAATTTAAAGAAAACTGCTGTTTGTATTAAAAACTTATACTTTTTTGGGTTGGGGGGGAAGGGAGAGATGGAGAGAAAATTCGGAACTCAAAATCTTATGGAAGTGAATGTTGAAAACTAAAAATAAATTAGCAAATTTATATAAAAAAATAAAACAGTAAAACCTCAGGAAAAAAAAAAAAGAACACTTTCTAATTGCCATTTCCAGGGTGATGGTTAATTGAAAGAACTTATAAAGGCTGTGTTTCCCTAGAGAGAAGAGGATTTCCCCGGCTGAAATATGGTGGGGATTAACAAACAATGAGCAGTGTGATGCAGATGTTCTTTAATGGATGAATCCATTAAGGCCTGTAATACAGAGTTGTGAGTTACCCCAACTAAGCACATGAGTATTTCACCTTCATGTCCTTCCCTGCCAAGTTCCTGCAAATGTATGCTCACTCTTCACCATAGACATTGATTACATTGAAGAGACAGCATGATCTAAATACATGTGTGTATATGTACTCACACATATACATGTATACATATACATAAATATACATACACATATTATCTATCTATCTGTCTGTCTATCTACCTACCTACCTACCTACCTACCTATCTTGTATAGTGAATAGAACATTGGGCCTGGAGTCAAAAAGACCTCAGTACAAATTTGGTCTCAGATACTTACTGACTTTGTGAACTTGGGCAAGTTATTTAACTTGTTTGCCTCAGCTTCCTTAACTGCAAAATAGGGGTAATAATATCACCTACCTTCCAGAGTTGTTGTGAGGATCAATTAAGATAATAATTATAAAGCATTTAGCATAGTGCCTGGTGCATAGTAACCACTATATAAATGTTAGCTATTATATACACATTTGTATATACAAATGCATACATATATGATGATCAAATGAGATAATGTAGATAAAGTGATTTACAAACCATATATTCATACATACATGTTATACATTTTATTATTCATTTGTTTTTAATATATTAATATATAGAATGTTATTTCTTTTATTGTCAGTCAATAAATATTAAGCACCTACTATGTGCCATGCCCTGTGTTAAGTGCTGGTGATACACAAAGAGGCAAAAGATAGTCCCTGACTCAAGGAACTCACAGTCTATCGGGAAGGCAAACAAACACGTACGTACAACAAGCTATGTACAAAATAAATAGGAAATAATTAAGGGAGGGGAGGTGATAGAATTAAGAGGCACTGGGAAAAGCTTCCTGTAGAAAATGGGATTTTAGTTGAGACTTGAAGGAATTTAGGGAAGCAAGCAGGCAGAGATGAGGAGGGAGAATATTCCAGGCATTGGGGAAACAGAGAAAATGACTAGAGCAAAGATGGAGTATCTTTGTGGAACAGCAAGGAGGCCAGTATCACTGCACAAAAGAGTATGTGTTGGGGAGTAAGGTGTAAGAAGACTGGAAAGGTAGGAGGGGGTACGTTATGAAGGGCTTTGAACACCAAATAGAGGATTTTGTATTTGATCCTAGAGGCAATAGAGAGCCACTGGAGTTTATTGCGTGGGTGGGGTGGGAACATGATCAAACCTACTTTTTAGTGGCTGGCTAGAAGATGGATTGGAGCGGGAAGGAGACTTGAGGCAGGCAGACCCACCAGTAGGTTACTGCAGTAGTCCAGGCATGAAGTGATGAGGGCCTACACCAGATCAGTGGCAGTACCAGAGGAAAGAAGGGTACGTATTTAAGAGGCATTACAAAGGTGGGACAGATAGGGTTTGGCCATAGATTAGTTAAAGGGATGGGAGATAGTGCAGAATTTTGGATGACATTTAGGTTGCAAGTTTGAGGGACTGGGAAGATGATATTGCCCTCTATTAATAGGGAAGGTAGGAAGTGGGGAAGTTTTAGGCAAAAAATAATGAGTTAAATTTTAGACATATTGTCTATTGAAATCCATTACTATTAAGTCAGTGGTTTAAGATCTTTAAAAAAATATTGAGTCAACAAACTCCACTCTTAAAGATTAATTTTGCTTTCAGGAGTGAATACAAAATGCTTTTAGAGAGAGAGATGTATGTATGTTAATTTGATGGTTTACAGCAATGGGCCACTGTTATTTTTCTAGGGGCTTAAGAGAACTATCACATATTCAGTATCTAAATGCAATTCCAGAATGTAATTATTTTCTCAATTTCTAGTGATATATTTAAAGACAAAGGGAAGAAAAAAATATTGAATACATTTTAAAGGCCTGGTAAACTTTGTTAGATAAGGTTAATTTAATTGGGTGTGTGTGTGTGTGTGTGTGTGTGTGTGGCTGGCTTATAAAAACTGAATCTCTTCCCCATTGTAAATACTTTTTGATGAGAGAGGGATGGTAACTAGGAATTTATTTTGGTTTTATGGCACTTTGGGGATTTATTTATGTTACTTAAAGACTTTTTCCACCAGCTTAGTTTTGAGAAATTTCAATTTTAAAGATTTTTTTTGCTTTAAAGTTGAATAAGAGAGAGATTTCTGTCATAAAATGAGGTTTCGAACTAATTTACTTCATGAAAGTTTAGTGATTGTCCACTAAATTTTAAGCTGTTTTCAAGAAAGGGAAATACTTTTAGGAAGGAATGTTTAAGTAAAAAAAAATCTTTTATAAAAATCTTTTGTGTAATTTTTAGAAGGTCTAATAAATTTCATTTGTAAGCTAATTTATTGCAATAATTTGATATTAATAACAATTATGTCCAAACCTACTGTGATTAGTGAGACTTTATTGTCTGAGGACAAAGCTTTTTTGGGACCCTGAATATTCTTTTCTGAGTTTCATTCTTAGGTTGGTTGTGTCCTTGGACTGTCCTTAAATGAGCATGCTAAGAAAAACATCAGTAGTCAGCAGTTCATTGGAAGCAATATCTGAAATCTAAGACTAGTGAATATCTGTCCCTGGGAATAAGGTAAGGAGGTTACTTTGGGAAAGGTTGGACATTCCCATACAAGAAATCTGTCCATCTGGTTCCATATGCTGGGCTGTTTTTAGTGGTGTAAGCTTAGAAGACCAGTTTTGATGCTGTTAGAACATGTTCCTGCTTCTAAACTTCATAGCAAATTTCTATTATCGGGGTAGACAAAAAGTGGAAGTTTGCCATTGCAATAGTGAATCTGTTATTAGATTAATACTAAAGCATTTAAACTACTGTAATTAAACCACAAGTGGGAAATATCTTACTGTTTTTGATCTGAATTTGTTGTCATTCCATGACCTAAGCAAGAATTAAATTAGTGCTTGAGTATAATTGGACAAAGGTAAACAAGCTTGTGAAACAAAGGTGTAAATCTATTAAGTTGTGAGGTTAAAGTCAGGAACCTCTTTTGGTTTTGTTTAACAAACAGGATTTTAGTATAGTCAGTTATGCTAGTGAAGAGTATTAACTTATGAGCTATCTTGTGTCACCTTAATGGGAAATTTTATTTTACTTATGCTTGTTATTTAATCTGGGATTAGAACACATGTAGAAATGCATGCAAATTACTTAAGAGTCACCTGAAAGATGTTCCCATTGTTGAAAGGGATTCTAAGAGAAGTAGTTCGTGTTATGTCCATTTAAACATGGTTAACAACTTAACACGTTTTACTATAGATAATGTTTCATATAATCTGTTCTCTGTATATAATCTGGGATTATTATATTTACACATCCTATCATGTCTTTTATTGTTTGTTATTAAGCATCTTAAAGCACAGTCATTTGTGTAATATTGAATTTAGGGATGACAAAGCATCTACTTACTGTGAGTGCTAGTTATGTCAAGATAAGCTGTGATTTTTCTTTAATGAATCTTTTGCTGTTACCAATCTGAGATTATAGTTAGTACTTTATCTAGGATATGTAATCCTTGAGAGTTGAATCCATCTGAAGCTCTGATTATTGGAACTTGCTACTTAAGGTCTTATGGGATTGTAAACTGATATTATTCCGTGTCTGATTTATGATCATCAAGGAATGTATTGAGCCAGTGAATCGATGATGCCAGCAACCTTATGGGGTTTTACATCCGTGAACTGCAGGTAGAGTTCTCATAGGAAAAGACTGAGAGAATGACTTTTGGCCCAGGCCGAGATCAGATTCTCCTGACTCAGTTTCCCCAATATGACATTTCCTCCTGGCTGATTTTAAGCGTGGCTCAGTGCAATTGGCCATCTGTATAACTTTTGCCTGGGATTGACAGCAAGATAAGGGAACATTATTAAATCTTTATAGGTTAATACTGCAACACATCCAAGTTATTATGGTAATATGCAGGTATAAGATTTGAGCTATTTAGCCTAGAATTTTAGTCCTTTCTGGACTCTAAACAACTAATTAATTTTAGACTTGACATCTGTTACGAGCTATATATTCCTGTGTAAGTTAAGGTCCTTTAATTTTCTCACAATGGTATAGGAAGAATTAGGCAAATGATACAGGACTTGTGAAACCAGGATAGGATTCTGGTATTTAGTGAATATCATAACTGTCTCAGTTATGTGTTAAGGAAAGGAATATCAATACAATTGTTATCTTAGAAGAAGAATGCCTTGTGGTCTACCTTGTAAATGCCTTAAAGAGATATCCACTTTTGTTAGGGATTATTCATTTGAACATGGCTAGAAGTTGAAAATGTTTTAATTATAAATAACTTACTTCATATGCACTGTTTTAAAAGTGATTACTCAATGTATTTATATGTCCCATTCCAGAACCTTTTGTTGCAACTGAAATTAATCTTGCAACTTTTAAATGAATTCATTTTTGTATTAGTCCATATTCTTATAAAAATGTTTTGTTATTAATTCCTTAGTGGAATCTCATGCTCCTCATGGGGAAATGAATAATGCCAAGTGTAAAAATTGGGTTCTAATTTTCTGTCTGTATCTGAGTTTCCTTTGTCTATTAACATGACAGTTGACCAACCTAAAATTGTAAATTCCCTAGTCTAAAGGGTTCCAAATTTGATTTTCTAGTAATAGATATAAGGTTTGAGTTAACTTTCATTATCTGGTTATTGGCAAGGTAAATTTTAAATCATGTGAAGACCAATTTTGCAGGAAATTTTTAACAGAGAAGAGAGTTTCACAAGCAACCTGAGCCAGAGAAGAGCTGGTCTTAGACCCCACCCAGACCACAGGACTGCATCAGCATGTGTCCTAAGAAACAGACAACTGTATGAGATGATACCTTTGAGCCTCGAATGGACAATTTTATTTTGCTGTTTATTCTTTCCCTTCGCACCTTTTATCTGTGAGGCCTACTTATTTAAAGAGGATTACCCTCTTTAATTTTGTCAAAATGTTATCAAAGGGGATTGCCCACTTTGATTTTGTCAAAGCACCCCATCTATCTTTCCCTTTCCCCCCTCACATTGTCTCCCCTCATAAGTTCCATAGTTAGAAACCCTAGATAAAGTGTTAGTCATATCAGTTAATGATTCATTGAAGAGGCCACACCTCTCAATAGAATCAAATGGGGAATGAGAGAAATGACTATTAATAGCCAATAGTTTGGGAAGATTCAGAACTCTCCCCGTCTTCCAAAGTCCTGATTTTTAAAAATTCAGTCTCTTGAAGAACATTACTGATAATAAGATTGGATTAAATTTCTTGTTCCAGACCCCACTCTGGTGGAAGCTACTGTGTTCTGCTCAGGCTTGGGTGGGTATATATTCTTTGAATAGATAGCCAAAGCTGTGGGTAGTCTGGTATAGAGATAGTTTCTCTGTCCTAGGGTGACATGATGTGACTCTCAGCCCTTCATTTTAATACAGCTCACCTTCCATTGTGTTATCCAATCAGAGTTGAATGTCATCCCTCAGGAACACTTACTGTTTGAAGGGGATATGAACTGTGAACCCACTGCCATGATTTTCTTTGGTTTAAAGGAGATGACCAAATGACCATCCTTTTTTATTACTAATGTGCTGGCCTTATTAATAAAATGATTAAATTACTCAGAAAAAATTATTGAATCATTGATTATGTAAATATTACATAGTTGCATCACCTTGTGAGTAGATGATTATATAAGTTAAAAACCATATTAGAAGACTTAAGAGCTAGAGTGGTAAGTAGGGCATGTGTAATAATAAGGTTTTCTCTATCCCCCAGAGAGAGTTTGATTATAACTGTATGGTAGACTCTTATCCCTCAGTACTTAGACCTGCAAGTGTGAGCACAGGTTAGAGTCAGAAAACCAAACCCAGAGAGAAGTAGGATTTTGAATGCCATGTAAGAAGAGGGGTAATAGAAATATATTTTATGTAATATTGTGGAAGTGTTTATATTTCACATTATCTCTAGACCTAATAACACCACACTCTTTTTTATTTATGTTACACTTGCAATATCAGGAGAAATCAAAGAAGACCCTCAGCATATTAGTGAGCTCCATGATGAATTTATGAGAAGACGTGAATGAGTATGACAGGACAGGCAAACATAGATTGACTGCAACATATTTCATTGAAGGAAGCACCCACACTGATAAAATTGTGAATCCGTTTGGGAATATGTGAATCCTAAGCATCCATACCAGTACCTTGCATATAGTAGGTATTTAGTAAATGTTCCTTGATCTTACTCAAGTTCATTCTCTTTGCATCCCATCGTCAAGATATAAAAATGTGATACTGCAGGCAGAATCCTAGAAAGCATGATCTCCATGAATTAATGGAAAATTCCAGGGGCGATAAAAATTCCAAACAGAAGTTATAATTGCACATATGTAACGATATCATCACTGATGAGTTGTTGATAATAATTAGATAATCTTGAGTAATATCAAGTTTTTCAAAGATCTTCCCCCAGAAAGAACAGCAAGTTGATTGATTGTAAACTTTGGTTATAAGGGTTGCTTAAGTGCCTTACTAAAATGTGTTTGTAATCATTGTCAATTTTATCTTATCTTTAGGCTTTATTACTGGCACAGCTGATGTAGTCCGTCAGATATGAGCAACTGGATTGAAGACACCATATTTTATTATTTGCCAAACTCTTCCTTAGTTTTCTTTTTTTCTTCCTTGGAGCAAACAGTACACTATTAGCTTTCAAGTGAAATAGTATACTAAATGAATACAGCTCACATTTATATAGTGCTCTAAGATTTGTAAATCACTTTACTTACATTATCTCATTTGATCATCATAAGAACTTTGTGAGATGAGTGTTATTATTATTACCAAACTGAGCCTTAGAGAGTTAATTGATTTGCCTGGTAGTATGAAGCTGGGTTTAAACCTGTCTTCCTAACTAAAAGTACAGCATGATATCTAGAATGTAATGTCAGTGTTAGAATGTAAACTCCTTGGGAACAGAGATTATTTCTTTCTTTGAATTTGTACCCCAGTTTCCTGCACTTAATAAGTACTTGTTTGATTAATGGATTGATTAATTATTCAAATCCTGCCTAAGATACCTACTAGCTTTTTGGCCCTGGACAAGTCATTAACCTCTCAAACCTCAGTTCTCTCTCATCAATAAAGTGAAGCTGGATGTGATGGCATCTAAAGTCACTTGCAGCTCTAAATCTCTGACCCTATGAATGCAAAGATATAGGACAGGTAAATGAAAATTTCAACTTCCTTCCAACTAAAACTTTTATTAGGATCCTAACAAATAACATTCAATAATCTTGGGGTTCACTTTTGGATCATCCTCTTTAGAGATTGCAAGCTAACACAGAAATGAACTAGACACAGATAACAGAAAAATAAAAGAATAAATCAAGATAGTGGTGATAAATTATACTTTATTTCCTAATGTTCTTACTCTACTTTAGTCCAGATTTAACGCTATAAGAATGTGCCTTTAGGAAATGTAAACTTTGCTGTGTTAAACCAATCTTTCTGGCATTTTGTTCTTGAATGTCTGTCAGGGGGAAGAGCTGCATGATGTTTAAGAGAATCAAGCTTTATTCCTCAGTGGGCACCTTCTGTTGAGAGAATGGCAGATGTTTATGAAATGAAGTATTCTACCCAATGCCTTTTTCTCTATTGTCATGAGAGCTCTGTAGGATTACATTGGATACTTAGGTTAAGAGATAACTTGATCTCTACTAGTCCTAAATGGCAGCAAATACCTTATAGGAAACATGCAACTTATGTTCTGTGTGTTCAAAGTAGGTCCTACCAAATCATACCATTTACCTGGAGATGAATTGTTATATGTGAGGAACACAGAGAAGGACAATTTGGCTGGATGATATCATGTGAGTGGGGAGTAGTGTCCAATGAGGCAGAAAGATAGGTTGGAGATTAAAGATCTAATAGTGAGACACTGAGTTTGATTGAGTAGGAGAATCACATGGCCAAATCTGCATGTAAGGAAAATTACTTTCAAAGTGTTATGTAGGATGAACTGGAATGGTGAGAGACTGAGGAAAGAAGAACAACTAGAAGGTTGTTACAATAATCTAGATGAACAGATGAGGGCCTGAACTAGGGTGGTAGCTGTGAGGGTATTGAGAATAACAATGATGATGATTAATTATAGTAATCATAATAGTTAAGATTTATATAACACTTTAAGGTTTACAAAGCATTTTAGATGGATTATCTCACTTGATCCTCACAATAGCTCAGTGAAGTAGGTGTTATTATTACTCTTCTTTTACAAATGAGGAAAATGAGGCTGATATAGCTTAAGCGACTTACCCAGGGTCACACAGCGGGTAAATCTCTGAAGCAGGACTTGAACTCAGGTCTTAGGTGTGAGAGATGTTGTAAAGGTAACATTTGGCAACTGATTAAATATATAGGGTAAAAAAGTGAGGCATCTAGGATAATGCAGAGACTATGAAACCTGGAAGATGGTGGTTCTTTCACTACTATCATATGGGTGAGAATGATGACAAGAATTTAGAGCAGATACAAGGTAAATCCATCTTATACTGAATTCAACATTGTAGTTGGATATATTCTAGGCAGGCCTAAGTACACATCTCAATAATTATGGGCCCTGAATTTATGCTTGATAACACTACTCTGAGTAACATTCATAACAATATCTACATTACAGAGAAACTTATTCTTTGACTAGAGTAAAGACAAATGCATGAGTGGGGGGCTCATGAGACATAGGTCTAGGAGTCAGTTCTAGGAACAATGTACCTTGAATCTGAGATAGTCACCCAACATATGAATGTGAGTTGGGGGTGAGTGTAGCTCAAAAGAGGTATCTATACATCTATATACGTATGGCTGTCACTGTCATCTCTATACATCACAAATTTGTGCCAACAGGACTGAAGATTCAAAGATGATTATACCTATTATTATTAGCATGTAAGTGATTATATCAACATAAATACAGATTTATACATGTATATATGTATGTATGAATGTAAATACATACAAACACACACATGCACATACACTGCTTCTGGTCTAATCCCTCCATAACCCATCACACTTGCAGATTGGGTCCTTTAGTGGATGGCTATCTCAGGTTCAGAGTATTCTGTAGGTCTGTACTCCTAGAACTACCTTATGAAGATTATAGGTACTAGTATAGAAAATTATCCACTTCCCTTAAATGCTCAGTTTTGTCATTTGATTGTTTATAACAGTTTCTCATAATCCTTTTTATTCTCTCCTCATTGTGATATTGCCTTATAATTTTTTTTTGTTAATTTGACTTTCCTGTTTTCTTGAAATATAATGTAGTTGATGGTCAATTGATAGTCTTTCTTTTTTTAAAAAAGCTGCTCAAAAATTCTATAGTCTATATGTATTTTTTCCTTTTCAGTTACATTTATTTTTCTCTAATTTTCATGATTCTTTTGTTCTTGTTTTAAAGTTGTTCATTTGTTTCCTTTTTACTTGTTGTTTTTTTAATTGCATGCTAAGTCCATTAATCCTCTCGTTTTCAATTTTGTTAACATATTTTGAGTGATCTAAATTTCCCCCTGAGGACAGTTTTAGCTATATTCCATAAAAATTATCCTCTGAGTTAACTAGGGCCTAGAAGAATATAAGTTAATAGAGGGTGAGTATGGTTTCCTTTTTTTCTTTTTAGAAATAGCATCTCTTACAATGCATTACATATAGGAGACAATAAAAGTTTGTTGAATTGAATTGTTATCATTATCTTTAACAATTATTTACTGTTAGTACTTTTTTAAAAAATCTACTTATTCAGAATGCTTTACTTAGTCTCCATTTGTCTGTATTTTTTTGCTTAGATTTCTTTTTATTAATGACTATTTTTTATTGTACCATGGGCTATAAAGGATTTGTTTAATATTTATGCATTTTTATATTTATGCATTTAGATTTCTTTATGTCCTAGCAGATCTTTATAATGGTATAAGATTTATTTACTAAAATGTTAAATATCTGAGAGTGGGGATTAGAAACAGAACACCAGGTCCAAGTCAAAAACTGGCCCTTTTTAGTTGTATGACCCTGGAAAAATCACTTAACCTGTCTGAATCTCAGTTTACTCATCTTTGAGATGAGGTTGATAATACTTAAACATATTACTTTAAAGGGCCATCACAGAGAAAACACTTTGTAAACCTAAATATCAGTTATGACTTTGTATTATGAAATTAAAGTCTCATATTTTTATTTTAAAGATAGATTTGGAGAGAATTTGTTTCAGAATAATTAATTTCTTTCTGAAGAAACAAAATTAGTATAAGTAATTTAAAACCAACTAACATGAAAATTGTCCTGTACTAAATATGTTGAGTTATTTCCTTGAGTGAAAGAACTCCAACACTTAAGAAGAATAATACACTTTTAAAAATTCTACTATAGCTCTGGATTGTTCTTTGGCTCTTAGGGGATCATCTATCTCTATAAGATAGGATTTCCCTTCTCTGTAATGTAGATATGTTATGAATGTTACTTAGAGCAGTGTTATCAAGCATAAACTCAGGGCCCATAATTATTGAGATGTGTACTTAGGCCTGCCTAGAATATATCCAGCTTTAATGTTGAATTCAGCATAAGATGGATTTATTTTGTATCAGCTCTAAATTCTTGTCATCATTCTCATCCATATGATAATGGAGTTTTGAGCTGGAAGATATTCTTGAGATCACCTAGTCCAGTACTTTCACTTTATAGATGAAGAAAATGAATCTGAGGGCAATTAAGTCACTTATCCAAGGTCACCTAACTAATTAAGGCATAGCTGAGAATCAACTGTTAGTAGTGTGGAGTGATTAGAGCTTTGCCCAGGAAGCTGAACTTAGAGGGTACTCAAGGAATTTTGTAGTTCTTCAGCAGTGTAGAAGCAACAGTGTGTAGCACCTAGTTAGCAAGATAAAATATTTTAAATAAGAAACTACCAGATGGCCCATTGCCTGCCCTTGTCAGTTACATTCCAGGATGACTCTGCAAATATAACCCATGGTATCCTGGTTTAAATGTTAAAGCTGTTTTCATTTTCCCTAGTCTCAGTTTGTGCAGCCCCAGGCACAAAAGTTTCTAGTTATGGCTCTGTTGGGAATAGAACCCAGGTCTTCTGACTTCCACTCTGCTATTTTTTTTTATTACTAGTTCAATCTGCCTTCTTATATTTAAGGGGACCTTGCCTGTAAAGTGGTTCTAGAGATGGATAGCATGGTAATAAGGTTTTAGTATACTTCAGGTGCTCCATTAAAAAATTAATTTTTTCTGATTTTTTTCGTTACCTACATTTCCCACTCTCTCTAACTCCTTCCAGAGAAAGATACTTTGTAATAGAGTATTTAAAAAGAATAATTAAGAAAATGTTCAGTAGAACTAACCATCATATCAAAAAAGTCTAATACTATATATAGTATTCCATACCCAGGGAGCTCTATCTCTGCAGAGAAGTGGTAACAATTCTCTCTGTCTCTGTCTCTGTCTCTCTCTCTCTCTGTCTCTGTGTGTGTGTGTGTATGTGTGTGTGTGTGTACATACATACATACATACATACATACATACATACATACATATGGAAGGGGACATTAGGGACATTAGCGCTAAGGGGTCATTAGCTCTGATTCTTTTGTTTTCTGTTTGCTTCACTTTACATCAGTCTTTTTTTCAGTATTCAGCTTATGTATATGTGATGGGGAGGAGGGATGATTCCCCATGTGAAGGAGGCTGGGAACATGCATCTGAAATGTTGTGCTGACGTGTAATGAAAGTTCCTTGGGGCAGCTAGGTGGTGCAGTGGATAGAGCTCTGGCCTAGGAGTCAGCAGCACCTGAGTTCAAATCTGGCCTCAGATACATGACACTTACTAGCTGTATGACCCTGGGCAAGTCACTTAATCCTGATTGCCTCGACAAAAAAAATGCTTTGGAGAGATTTGAAGCACATGCTGACCTTAAAGACTGATTCTTTTAACCACATGATAAAGAGGATGCTTTTTGATTGGCTCCATAGTCAGAACTGAATGCATTCAAAAGGTCACTAGTCATCAAAGCTAGTGTTGGCATATATTCTTTCACCACTTTGGCATTGGAGGAGGAGGACTGAAAACCTGGGGTGGGGGTGAGGGTGAGAATGGGACAGTCCTAGAGTCTTCTCTCTCAGAGCCAACATGCAGTTGAAAGTGCATAGCCCTGCTGATACATCTGTTGCTGTTATATCCACTCTTTCTATCTAAGTAGAGGAGTTGTAGGACCAGAGTTCATGCCAGGTTTAGCAGCCAGCCAGTCCCACACTGATGCCCCAAGGAATGACCTTCAGGACCCAGCCCAGGAGTCACAGACATCTATCAGCTTTGCCACATTTGGACATGAACTTGATGAGGTGAATGCTATGCAGAAACTGAGTTAAGTGGAACCCTTCTTTCCCCAGGGACTAAGGGGAGAGTGTTCTTTGCAGGTGTTAGTTGGAAATGTTATGCAGTTATCCCTTCCAGCACTCCCATGATCTGGAAAATCAGCATAAAATTTTTGGCTCTCTCTTCATACCAGAGAAGTCTGATTTTTTTTCTTTTTCTTTTATGGGATGTTTACATTATCTTACTATAAAATTTGTGTTAAGAAGGTAATAAGCTATATTGTATAATATTATGCATATATTTTATGCATTTCTGAGTTTCTAAACTTTTTCTGTGGCTTTTTCCTGCCATCTTGTGGCTTCTGCAAAACTCCCCCAAAATTCCCATTTAATTTCTTGTGCCAACCCACGATATATTGAAACCATGATGGGGAAAATCCCAGTGCGGAAAGGTTGGCTGTATTTTGTGCTTGCTATAGCTGAAATAAATAGCCTTCTATAAAAACTAATTGACGTTAGTGGGTTAAATGGAACCCTGAGTGAAGGCACTAACCACTGGTGGTGAAGTGTGGGGACTATGCTGGAATGGGATCTTAGAAAGTGATATTCTTCATCCCCTCAGTGATGCCCCCAAAACCCAAGGGAAGACGTAGCTGGCCTCTCGGGGGACAGTTTGTACAGAAACAGTTGCTGTATATGGGAGACCAGAGCTATTGCTACACATAGTTTCTTATTGCACAGTAAAGTATAACTTGATTTTTTTCTTAAGATTTTTTCTCCCCCCTTCCCTCTTCCTCCTCCCCACCAAATGATGTGTTTATGGCTTCTGCTTTTTAAAGGAGATATAACAGTAAGTAGTCTAAGAACTGTGTGATTCTTAACATCATCTTGTCCTCTTTTCTGGCTCTCTCACCATCACTGAAAAAATCATAAGATGTTTGAACAGGAAAGAATGTTTTAAAATTTTCCATATCTTACATTGGTGTCTTCAACCACTAAATAATAGAGTGTTGTTTTAGTCATCACAAGATTGAGATTTTATGTTAGATTAGTTTAAGTAGCAAAATATGCATCAGAATCAGAGTATGAGAGCTGGGAGTGATTTTGGAGATCTAGTTCAACCACTTTATTTTACAGATAAGGAAAGGAAAGAAAAGAAGGGATTTGATCGAGGTAACATAGGCATCAAGTGGCAGAGTTAGTGTAATTCCTTTGACTCAAAGCCCAGCACTCTTGCTTTCCCACATGGCCTTCCATACAAATTGCTCTTGAGTTGATCATTTATGTTTTCATTCAACATAGGAAATAGTTTCATTTAAAAACAAATGTTATGTTATGATGTCACAAGTTGTGGAGTAGTATGTTTTGCTGTCTTTAGGACATGTAAGATGATACTAACATTCTTATAAATGTCTAACTAATTGGTCTTAAACACCTGGTATCCTTAATTGTATGAAATAAGGGGTAAATTAAAAAGCTTGTAGAATTGAAGATGGATTAGAAGTTATAATTAATTACTCTGGTAAAACTTCAAGGTGTTTTTTATAAAAGTCCATTATGAGTCTGGCAGTAGAGGGAAAAATTAAATGTTTGTTTTGCAACAACTTGTTTCAGAAGAATCTCTAAAGAGATGTTATAGAATTGTATTTAAAGCATTTAGTCCCTTAACTGGAGTATTAAACATAAGCACTGGTTTCTCTTATTATCAATGTAAACAGAAAATGATTCCCTTTAATGACAGGCATATAATTTATATGACTGGAATATTTATGAACTGAATTTTATTTTGTGATAGCTTTTCAACTAAACATAAATAGAGCTTAATTCTCTTATTTTAGTTGAGATCTTAATTTGCTGCTGTGATTGAAAAATAATATTATTGGGGCAGCTAGGTGGCGCAGTGGATAGAGCACTGGCCCTGTATTCAGGAGGACCTCAGTTCAAATCCGGCCTCAGGTACATAAGACTTACTAGCTGTGTGACCCTGGGCAAGTCCATTAACCCCATTGCCTAGCCAAAAAATAAAAATTTAAAAAAAAAATTCAGTGAAAAATAATATTATGGAGATAACAAGAACAGCAATCTTGGATAAACCAAAATAGTAGTAAGAATGAACTGAAATTTATTGTCACATAGCAGTAGTTTTTAATATAATTCTTAATTTTGACTTTTGTTCTTTCTGGTCCATTATTTCTGGGCACATTATTAGATGTGTCTGGACATATGAAAATAGGCAAAGTAAGTAAGAAAAAGTAAACACAACAAATTGGCAAGACAAGGAAAATTTTTAAAGAAAGAAGGAAATAAGTTGAGTACAGCTACCAAATTTTTGTTGAGAGAAAAGAAGGAAATTGGGTGTGACTTTCAAGTTATTAACATGAGATGAAGAATCTAAAGAGTTGTAAACATATAAAGAGGTGATAAAAGGAATAAAAATAAAGATTTAAGAAAAAAGTATAAACTACCAGTAAGAATGGGGAGCAGATAGAATTTTGCAGTAACTTTCATTGATTGCCAAATGGTTATAATTCCCATTCCCTTCATCTCAAAACCCCCTGATGTTATCTCTCACTCCCTGCTCCTTACCCCAAGTCTCTGATAAAGCCTTTGCCTAGCCAGGGCTGAACCCTCTACCTTTCCCTCAAGCCATGATCTTATATTTCTCCTCTTTTTTCCCCCAGCCACTTTGTTTACAAAAACTCTTACCGCTCATTGTCTTCACTTTATTTTAAATCCAGATTTAACAACCAGAAACTGGGATAGCTAAACTTCACAACTTCACTGCAGGCAGTGAGGAAAATATCAAATGTCAAGAAACTATATCATATGAGTATAATAGGGAGCTCTTAATGGTCAGCCTTATCCTCTGTCTGATGTAATTCCCTCAAGAAGCTGTTTGGTGAACCTGGACATGTGTAATGGAGGGCCCTGCTTTCTGCTTCATAGCACCTGAGTTATTCTGCGATTATTTTATATCTGTCTTCTCTGTGGCAATAAGGTATCTTTTGAATGACTGCTAAGCCAGAAGTGAGTATGTGTATCAAAGGATCCAGTAACTCAATCTCAAACTCTTTCTTCCCTCAAGTGAGTTCAAGTGAACTACAAGTAGGAGAGGAGCCTTAGTTCTTTGCTTACCCAGAAGCACCAAGAGCACATGGCCTTCTAAATAAGCCTGTATCTGTGTCCTCTTTCCTTTGGTATAGGACCTGTGATATCTCAAAAGATCAGAAGTCCAGTTTGCCAGCAAGCCAATCTGGGTGAGGTGCCTAAAGGGAGACCTGAGATATCTACGCCAGCAGTGACTCCACTATGTGCCTTGCAGCAGGGGAACAATTCATCCATCAAATGACTATGCCACATTTGGAAGTGAATTTAATGGGACAAATGTTTTTCAGCAAACATTTTAATTTGAACCCATTATCTCCAGGGACAGAGCTATTACAAATTTTAGGGGTGTTTCTGCTATGTAACTTCTGTTATTGTCATCCTTTTTTTTTTTTTTTGGTGAGGCAGTTGGGGGTTAAGTGATTTGCCCAGCATCACACAGCTATTACGTGTTATGTGTCTGAGGTGGGATTTGAACTCAGGTCCTCCTGACTCCAGGGCCAGTGCTCTATCCACTGCGTCACCTAGCTGCCCCCCTTGTTATATCTTCTTAGTTAACCCCTTATAAAATAGCATCTCAGTAGGTCAGTTTAATAAAATAAATGCTAACTATTTTTTCTTTTTAAATAGTATTTTTTTTCCCCAGTTACATGTCAAGAAAAATTTTAACACTCATTTTTTACAAAATTTTGGGTTCCAAATTTTTCTTATTCCCTCCCTCCTCTCCCCTCCCCTCTTCTGAAAATGGTCAGCAGTTTGATGTAGTTTATATGTGTGCTATCATGTAAAAGTATTTCCATATTAGTCACAGTTGTGAAAGAAGAAAGGAAAAAAAAGGAAAAAGGAAAAAAAAAATAAGAAAGAATAAAGTAAGTTAAAAAAGTGTGCTTCGATCTGCATTAGAGTCCATCAGTTCTTAATCTGGATGTGGACAGCATTTTCCTTCCCGAGTCCTTTGTACTTGTCTTGGATCACTGTTTTCCTGAGAAGAGCTGAGTCATTCGTAGTTGATCTGGTACTGCTAAACCTCCTTCCTTTACATTTTTTTCATTATTTCCTTTGATATTCTTGACTTTTTGTTTTTCCAAATGAATTTTGTTATAATTTTTTCTAATTCAGTAGAATGTTTTGGCAATATGATTGGGATGATATTGAATATATAAATTAATTTTGGTAAAATTATCATTTTTATTATTCCTACCTGGCACTTAAAAAAAAATTCTACTGTGATAAGCAGCCATAGTCAAGCAAAACAACTCTACATGTGACATGTCCACAAATGTGTCTCATCCTGCATATTGAGTCTATCACTTCTCATCAGGAGGCAGATAGCATGCTTTGTTATCAGTCCTTTGGAATTAGACATTGCATTGATCAGAGTTCTTCAATTTTTCAAAGCTGTTTTATCTTAGAATGTTGTTGTTACTATATAAATTGTTCTGGTTCTACTCATTTAACTCTGTATCAGTTCAGAAAACTCTTCCCATATTTCTCTGAATTCATCCCTTTAGTCAATTCCTATGTTTCAATAATATAACATTACATTCATGAACATTGGCAGTTAGGTGGTACAACATATCAGAGCAGTAGACCTGGAGTCAGGAAGACCTGAGTTCAAATTTGATCACAGACATTGGCAGTGTTACCTTGGGCAAGTCACTGAATCTCTGCCTCAGTTTCCTCAACTTTAAAATGAGGATAATAATAGCACCTCTCTCCCAGAGTTTTTGTGAGGATCAAATGAGATATTATTTGAAAAGTATTTAGCACAATGCTTGACATATAATAGATGCTATAGAAATGCTATCATCATGACCATTATCATCATTGTTTACTGTAGTGTATTTGGCCACTTTTCAACTGATGAACACCCTTTTGTTGTTCAGTTCTTCAATATAACAAAAAGTACTGCTTTTGAACACGTAGGTTCTTTGTCTTTGATATCTTTGGGAGATATGAACCTCATAGCAATTGGTTGGTTTTTGTTCTTGAAGACCAAAATGACATCACTATGTTGGGGTCAAGGTACAGTGTGTCTAGCTATGGTTGATCAGTCCAATACAAACTCAGAAGGCTCTAACACAGGTCGGGCACAAATAGTCTATGTGAATGAACATTTGGAGTGAAGATGTCTCAAAATCTGCACATCTCCCATTTCCTGTGACCTACTGCAATGCTGCTTTGCTCCTAGAGCATGGCACCTTCTTTGATGTGGGTATGCCATGCAGAGAGGACATGTGCTAGTGTCTCCCATGTCCCACAACCGATTCCAAAGTTCTACCTATATTTCATAATCAAAAGGTATGTACAGTTAAGTGACTTTTGATATATAATTGCAAACTGGTCTCCAGAATGACTAGACCAGAGGTGGGGAACCTGCAGCCTTGAGGCACATGGCCCTCAAGTACAGCCCTTTGAGGACCTAGAGGGCCACATGTGGCCTCAAGGCTGCAGGTTCCCCATCCCCAGACTAAACCATTTCATAGCTCCAGTGCATTAATGTGTGTCTATCCTCCTCTGAATCCTCTAACAACTGTCATTTTTCTTTTTTAGGTCATCTTTGTCAATTTGTTGGGCATGGAGTTGAATGTCAGAGTTGTTTTAATGTAAATTCTAATTATTATTACTGATTTGGAGGAGTTTTCACACAGTTGTTGATATCTTGTTTTTCTTCCATTGAAAACTGCCTGTTTATATCCTTTCACCTCTATTGGTCCATGTTCTTATACATATATATCCTGGATAACTGACCTTTATCAGTGAGATTTTCTGCAGAGACTACTGGACCTGGTAGCATGTCAGCTGGAGGAGCCAGAGCAGGAGCCTAGTGACCTGCTTCACTCAGGTAAGCAGTAGATTGTCCCATCAGCTGAGACACTCAGGCTAGAAGGGGGCACTCCAGTTGAGCAAGGAAGAGACTCTTCCATCAATAAGATCCTACACTAAAGTGAACTTGGGCATAAATCTGAGGAGAGAACACTTTGCTATTTATTTTTTGTGAAGGTGAAGATTGATCCAATATTGAATAGTTTGCTCCATTTGAATGCTTTTTGGGGGGGAATATGAATTGGAATGGGAAAGTGACAGTAGCAGTCCAAATTTTAGGATAGTTAGATAGAAGTAACCCAATTACCAACCAAGCTGGGTGAGGAGGGGACAGCACTATGCTGCTTTATATTTTTAAAGCATGATTCTAGATTAGTAGAGAGAATGATGACCTGAGCCCTCTTTTTCATCACTGTTGGTGACACCTTGTTTCTGAAACCACCACCAATTAAAAATCAAGAAAAAGGGAGGAAAAAAAATCTCTTGTAGCAGATAAACATTGTCCAGCAAAATGAATTCACAAATTAGCTATGTCCAAAAGTTTGTCTCTTTTTACACCTTATGTCCATCATCTTTAAGGTAGGAAGTGGGTGACATGCATCATCCTATGACCTTTGGAGACATGGTTGTTATTGCTTTGGTCAGAATTCTTAAGTCTTTCAAAGGTGTTTGCCTTTACAATGTTGTTCAGAAAACTAGCTCTCTAGGGAGTGTTTACCCACCTCAAAGATTTGGTTTGCGTGTGGAAAATTTTCTCCTTTCCATATTTTCAGGAGTCATAGTTCGGTCCCATGGGAGGAATTCTGTCTCATCACTGTAGAAAGGACTTGAATTGATGAGAACTAATTTATTCCAACCTCTCTTGTTTCTGCCTCAGCCCCTCAACCCTATATTTTTAGACTTTATCTTCACCTCACCCTTTATTCTTCTTCAAACAACACTCAAGTTCTTTTTTCACTTGACAAGGTTGGACCAGCTTTGTGCAGCTATTGCACAAATAGTGTCCCACCATTATTTCCTCTTTTGTATAGTAGACCCATTTACCCACAGATAGTAAGGTAGTGGCAAACAATTAATGCCTTTTACTTCTTTAGTATAGTGCGTTAAAAAACTATTATCTTAGTTCATACATGAGGAAGATCAGATCTGGCAGGTTAAATGATTTGCCTTAGGTCACCCAGTAACTAAAGTCCAGAAGTACTGAGAACATGGTTATCCTTTGGTTGAATGACTGAACAATACCATCAAACACACAGATGCAGTCATAGACACAGACACATATATACACACACATGCTTTTGATTTCCTTTATTCTAATTTTGTTTAAAAGCCATATCTATATGTAAAAACCTTATTGATATAAAAATATTACATTCATTTTCTTACAACAGGGAATTTTACTAGATATTCTTTCCAAGGTATTAATAGTTACCACCTCCCATTCCACCAATCATTTTTATTTGATCTTTAAAAGAAAACTGTGATTTGAAAAGAAAACCTAAACAGTTATTTTCTTTTTTTGTGTAAAGACTTTATATAGTAGAAAGCAAGGATGAGGAAGCTAAAAAAAGGGACACAAATCAGCAGCTTGGGGTGACTCTTATTCTGTTCCAAAGATATGGCACAAAGTCAATAAATACTTCTATGTGTTTGTGTAAGAAATGTTTCCTGTAGTTGCTTTTATTTTCTTTTCACTGCTTTGATCTCTGGACTTTTGTGTGTCCAATCTCAATCTGAGTTTTAGTTGTTCAACTAGTCAATCTAGTTTGACAAGATGATGTGAAGAATTTGGAAATGCTTCGTAAGCATTCTCTAGCTAATTGTGGGCTTGGATTCAATTGTCTTGCCAAATTCCTATTTAGTTTGACTGAAGAAGACACTAACTCTGTGTCTACAAAAGCAAAATGAAGTGGAGACTTGAAACAATCACTCACACAGTATTTGGATTAGATGATGTCCCAGGTGAATTCTGAGTCTATATCTTATCATGTGCCTACATTATTCTGAAACTCCTCTGTTTGGCATTTAAAGCCCTTCACATCCTGGTTCTGACCTACCTTTCCAGATATGTTATTCATTACTCCTCTTCATACACTCTTTGGTTACCGTTCCTCACTCACAACATTGTCTTTACACATACCTGCTAAGTACTCTGTCCTCACCGCTGTCCTCTTGGAATCCCTAGATTTTTTCAGAGTTCAATTTAAATGCTATCTTTCACATGATGCCTTCCTGATGTCCTAAGCTGCTAGTAACTTCCAGTTAAAAACAACAACAAAAAATTTTAAAACCTTGTATTTATTGTGTATATATATACTACACACACAGATTTTATATACTTATATGTGTATATGTTGTCTCTCCTGATAGAATGTAAGCTCTTAGAGGGAAAAGATTGTTTTAGTTATGTGTTTGTATAACCAGTGCCTCATACAGCATATAACACGCAGTAGATGCTTGATATATGCTTGCCAGTTGATTCCTTGCCCCAAACATCTCATGATTCATGAAATCCAGGCATTTTCATTATGATGTCTCTTACTCCTCAACTTCCATTCTATTTCCATGCCATATTTCGTCCATGTTCCCAATTAGTCTCTTTCTCCTCCCCTTTTGTTTAACTCAAAGTTATCTGTATACCACTACCACATTAATATTTCTAAAGTATGGGTCTGATCCTGTCACTTTCCAACCTAAACAACTTCAGGAGCTTCAAATTCCCTACTGCAAAAAGTAGAAATTCTTTAACCTCGTGTTCGAGGTCTTCTACAATGTGTCTCTAAAGGAAGCACCTACCCTTATTTCTCACTCCCTATTTTTCTACATAAGCCCCATACTACAACCAAAGTGGATATGCTCACTCTTTCCTAACCACGCTTTTAGCCCCTGTTTATGGTATTACCTCCAACTGTAATACTCTTCCTTATTTCTTAACCTGTTGAAGATCTATTCATCCTTGAAGGCTTAGTTCAAATGCTCCTTTGTAGGTAAAGCATTCCTTGATCATTCCATCCAGAAGTGGTTTCTCCCTCTTCTAAATCCTGCAGAGCTTTCTTCATAACCGTAGAGTATATCATTGTCTTTCAAGAAAATTATTTGTGAATAGGCAAGAAGAGCAACAGACCTGGAACTTGGTTTGAATCATCATTAATATGTGTGTGACCTTTGGTGAATGAATGAATAAAAAAGTAGTTACACTATGCCAGGCACTGTGCTAAGCACTGGGGATACGAAGAGAACCAAGCATGAAAATAATCACCGTTAAGGAGTTTTCATTCTAGTAATGGAAGACAACACATAGGAAATGGGGTTGCAAGCTTGGTGACATGGCATGGAAATGGCCAGGAAGTGACACGATGAGACGAGGTCTGGTCAACATAAGCTGAAAACTCACCAATAAGAGCTCAGAGTCTCAAGGGTGTCATCAAATTCTGGTGGGAAGACTCTGAATTGCTGATGTTATGGTATGGAAATGGACCCAAAGTGGGTGAGATGTTTGCTTTCCTGAGGCTGTTTGCTCTTACTAAAATGGGAAATTCATCTTAAGGCCCCTGTCAGCTTTCAAATTCTGTCATTTTCTGTATTGGATTGTACAGTTTTTGAGGCCAAGTACTATAATGTCTTACACATTTTTATATCTACCACAGTATCTTGAACAGTATCTTGCATTTGTATTATGTATTCCCATGTAAAATATGTATTGCTTTATGGGTTGACTAAATCCAGCTTATAGGAGGAATTATAAATATCTCTGGACTATTACCCACCCCTCTCTAAAAAAAAAAAACTGTGATTACCACCTTCAGGGGAACAGGAGAAGGGCCATGAAGCTGGCCCTCTTCCCACATCCCTTCCCCTTGCCAATATTGTTAGACTAAAGGCACAATTTTGGTTCAGAAAAAAAGCCACTTTCCTCATCACTAGTCCTTAGTTCATACTCACCCAGTCTGAATTCTTCTCACCAAATGCTAGTCACACAAAAGACCATCACAAATAACAAAATAACAAATACATATTTATCCATGTAAAGAAGCAAAGAAAAATTAGAAAAGTTATACAGTTCAGAATATGCCAAAAACTGCACATTTATGTCCTATCCTTATAAAGAAACAAAATCCAAAGTCAATAATCCTACCTTTTCTTTTTGTCAGTTATCATATCTACCTCAAATATTCTTTCTCCCAATATGACTATGCTTCCCTTCCCTCCCCACTATCTCTCCCTCTGACACCTTTTGATGATTTTATTTTCATTACGAACTTTAACTTGTCCCACACTTTAGTTAGTACATGGCACTTTAATTTTTTTTCTTTTTTTTTTCGTTTGCTATGAAGTTGACCATAATCAACAAACACAAACATTTCAATAAACAAAGAAAAACAAAAAGGAGTATATATGAACCTATGAACTTCTGTTAGGTTGTTTTTTAAAAGTATATATAAAACTTGAAAAAAAATCTCATTTATTTTTGTACTCTTCTGAATATCCTTTTTTTCTTTTGTGAATTATAAATATTTTGTTGATGCTTTTTTTATATACATTTCTATCGCTATTCTGGGGGGAGGAACCAAGATGGCAGAGTAAAAAGAGTGACTTGCTTGAACTCTCCCCCAAACCCCTCCAAATACCTATAAAAAAATGGCTCTAAACAAATTCTAAAGCAGCAGAACCCATAAAAAGACAGAGTGAAACAAATTTCCAGCCCAACACAACCTGGATGATTGATCAGAAAGGTATATCCTGCTGGTCTGGGAGAGGAGCATAGTGAGGCGTGGGCATGCAGGCTGCAGCAAATCTGGAGCAGGCCTCAGAGGGCTGAATTGCCAGCAGCTGCTGTGGCTTCCAGACTCCTCAATCCACAAATGCCAAAGACTTAGAAGGTCAGTGGGAAAAGTCTGTTTCTGCAGTGATGAGAGAGGAACGTGGGGTCTCAGATCCAGTTCCCCAAGAGCACAGCCCTGGGGGGGGGGGCAGCTGCCTCCTGAGCTTCTGGCCCACAGACTGAGGGGGAATCCAGTGGCTGATCAGAGAGGGATTGCAGGGATCTCTTGCTTTGCCCATGCTTGGATCTGGGTCACAGTTCTGGGCCGCTGTCCTGGGGTGAGGAGGAGCACTGCCTTGGTGGAACTTATAGTGGCTGCGAAGAGAAAACCCTCCTCACAGTTCCAGGACAGAAAGGCGTACTTATGGTCACTAATAGACCAGAGCCTAGGCCAGGAAAGGAGTGAACACCTTGCCCCTTATCATACCACCATGGAAGAACTAAAAATTTACAGGTCCCTACAAGTATCTCTGAAAACAGCTGCACAAACCCCCAAAGCTTGGGACAGTACATTCTCCACATTGGAAGCAGACTCTTACCTTAACAAAAAGTTTAAAACTCAAGTAATTGGCCGGGATCATGAGCAAGCAGTGCAAGAAGAATCAGATCTTACTTTGGTGACAAAGAAGATCAAAATACGCAACCAGAAGAAGACAACAAAGTCAAAGCTCCTACATCCAAAGCCTCCAAGAAAAATATGAATCAGTCCCAGGCCTTGGAAGAGCTCAAAAGGGATTTTGAGAAACAAGTAAGGAAGTAGAAAAAACTGGGAAGAGAAATGAGAGTGATGCAAGAAAAATCATGAAAAACAAGTCAACAGCTTGCTAAAGGAGACCCAAAAAATACTGAAGAAAATAACACCTTAAAAAATAGCCTAACCCAAATGGCAAAAGAGGTCCAAAAAGCCAATGAGGAGAAGAATGCCCTAAAAAGCAAAATTGGCCAAATGGAAAAGGAAGTCCAAAAGATTACTGAAGAAAATACTTCCTTAAAAATTAGAATAGAGCAATTGGAAACTAGTGACTTTATGAGAAATCAAGACACTGTAAAACAAATCCAAAAGAATGAAAAATTAGAAAACAATGTGAAATATCTCATTGGAAAAACAACTGACCTGGAAAATAGATCCAGGAGAGAGAATTTAAAAATTATTGGACTATCTGAAAGCCATGATCAAAAAAAGAGCCTAGACATCATCTTTCAAGAAATTATCAAGGAAAACTGCCCTGATATTAGAACCAGAGGCAAAATAGAAATTGAAAGAATCCACAGATCTCCTCCTGAAAGAGATCCCCAAAGGAAAACTCCTAGGAATATTGTAGCCAAATTCCAGAGTTCCCAGGTCAAGGAGAAAATATTACAAGCTGCCAGAAGAAACAATTCAAGTACTGTGGAAACACAATCAGGATAACACAAGATTTAGCAGCTTCTACATTAAAGGAGCAGGGCATGGAATATAATATTCCAGAGGGCAAAGGAGATAGGATTACAACCAAGAATCACCTACCCAGCAAAACTGAGTATAATCCTTCAGGGGAAAAAATGGTCATTCAGTGAAATAGAGGACTTTCAAGCATTCTGATGAAAAGACCAGAGCTGAATAGAAAATTTGACTTTCAAAATACAGGACTCAAGTGGAACATGAAGAGGTAAACAGGAAAGAGAAATCATAAGAGACTTATTAAGTTGAACTGTTTACATTCCTGCATGGAAAGATGATATTTATAACTCATGAGACCTTTGTCAGTATTAGGGTAGTTGAAGGAAAAAAATTATATGTATGTATAGATAGATAGATAGAGGGCACAGGGTGAGTTGAAGATTAAGGGGTCATATCTGGAGAATAAAATTAAGGGATGAGAGAGGATTATACTCAGAGAAAAAGAAAGGGAGAGGTAGAATGGGGTAAATCATCTCACCAAAAAAAACCCTAAGAAACAGAAAAGAAAAGGCTCTTACAGTGGAGGGGAAAGGGGAAAGTGAGAGGGAATGAGTGAATCTTATTCTCATAGGATTTGGCTTAAGGAGGGAATAACATACACATTCAATTGGGTATGGAAATCTGTCTTACCCTACAGGAAAATAGGGGGAGAAGAGGACAAGACAGCAGGGGATGATAGAGAGGAGGGCAGATTGGGAAAGGGGGTAATCAGAAGCAAATACTTCTGAGGAGGGACAGGGTCAAAAGAAAGAATAGAATAAATGGGAGGGCAGGATAGGATCAAGGGAAATAGAGTTCACAACATGTTTACTATGGAAGTATTTTGCATAACTGCACATGTATAAACTATATTGAGTTGCTGCCTTTTCAATGAGGGTGGGTGGGGAGGAAGGAAGAGAGAAAATTTGAAACCTAAAGTTTTAAAAACATGTTTTTAAAAAAATGTTTTCACATGCTACTGGGAAATAAGAAAAACAGGAAATGGGCTACAGAAGTCTGTCCTGCCATACAGGAAAATAGAAGGGGAAGGGGATAAGAGAAGGGGCAAGGGGGAGAGATAGAAGAGAGGACAGACTAGGGGAAGGGATATTCAGAATGCATGCCATCTTGGGGTGGGGGGAGGAGTGAGATGGGGTGAAAATTTGCAACTCAAAATCTTGTGGAAGTAAATATTGAAAACTAAAATAAATTTATATTTAAAAAAATAAAATAAACATTTCTATCATTACCCACTAACCATTCCATATACTCCCCAAATAGATAAATATATTTAAGTAAAACAATCAACCTTTCAGTTGTGTCTGAAAGTATATATCTCATCTTTTACCTGTAACCCATCACCTCTCTGATGAGGGGCAGGAAGCATGCTTCATTATCAGTCTTCTTAAATTACAATTGGTCACTGCATCTATCAATATTCTGAAGTCTTTCAAAATTCTTATTTTGTTTTTACATAATTGTAATCAATGTGAAAATAGTTCTAGTTATACTCACTTCACTCTTCATCATTTCATGAAAGTCTTTCCAACTTTCACTGAATCCTTCATAATCACCATTCCATTCCATTTACATATCTGAATTTATCAAGCCATTCTCCAGTTGATAGGCTCTCACTTTGTTTCCAGTCTTTGCTCTATAACAGAAAGTATTAGTACAAATATTTTTGTATATGTGAGTCCTTTCCTTCCATCCTGAATTTTTTTTGGAGGGGGGAGCAGGTATACAGCTAATAGTGAAATTGCAGGGCTGACATCAATTGGGGAATGGCTGAGCAAGTTGTAGTATATGAATGTAATGGAATATTATTGTGCTATAAGAAATGATGAACAGGCTGACTTCAGAAAAACCTGGAAAGACTTGTATGGTCTGATGCTGAGTGAAGTGAGCAGAACCAAGAGAACGTTGTACACCATAACCGCCACATTGTGCAATGACTAATATTGATAAACTTAACCCTTCTCAGCAATACAAGGATCTAAGACATCTCCAGAGGCTTCCTGATGGAAAATGCTATCCACATCCAAAGAAAGAACTATGAAAGTTGAATTGCTGTCTTTTTTTTTCTCTTCTGTTGAGTTTTATTTCTTCTTTCTGATGGTTCCTCCAATTGGATTTAATTTTTACTTACAACATCACTAATGTGAAAATATGTTTAATAGGAATGTAAATGTATAGCCTATATCAGATTGCACGCCATAGTGGGGAGGGTGGTGGGGAGAAAGGGGGAGAAAAATTTTAAATTCAAAATCATATGGAAGTGATTGTTGATAAATCAAAATAAATTAATAAAATAATTTAAAAAAAAGAAATTGCAGGTTTGAAGGGTATGTACATGTTATTGGCCTTTGGATATAGTTACAAATTGTTTTCAGGAGTGGTTGGGATGATTCAGAGTTCTACCAACAGTGTATTAAATGTACCTGTCCTCCCAAAGTTCAAAGCCCTTCCAATAATTATACTTTCTACCTTTTTGTCATATTTATCAATCTTTAAGGGCATGAGGTGGAACTGCAGAGTAGCTTAAATTTAGATTTCCTTTATAATTAGTGATTTGAAACACTTTTTTGTATGACTTCTGATATCCTACATTCCTTAATTTGAAATCTGCCTGTTTATATTCTTTGACAACTTATCAATTGGATAATTGCTCTTTTTTCCCCCTAGATTTGTGTAAGTTCTCTATCTATTGTGGATGTCATACTGTATCAAAGAAACTTGTTCCAAAGAAAATTTGTTCCCCCAATTAGCTGTTTCCCTTCTAATTCTAATGGCATTAATTTTTTTCTGGCACTATTTTCTTAGGACTGTATGATTGCTGTTTAGTAATCCTCTCTTTTCTGCCCTTGTTTAAATCTTATGTACATAGCTTTTTAAAATCTAAGTTGCTTGGTGAGTTTCCTGTGAATTCATATCAGTCTCTTCAGACAACTTTTCCCAATGTGATGAAATTATTTTCATTTGTGTCTTTAGAATGTCATACTTCATAGTTTCCTATCCCAGTTTGGAAGGTTTTCTCTGCATGATTATAATCCGTGGTGTTGTCATTTTCAGTTGTGTCTAACTCTTCATGAACCCATTTGGGGTTTTCTTGGCAAGGATACTGGAATGGTTTGCCACTTCCTTCTCCAGCTCATTTTACAGATGAGGAAACTGAGGCAAAGAGGGTTAAGTGATTTGCTCAGGGTCACATAGCTAGGAAGTGTGTGAGGCCAGATTTAAAGTCAGGAGGATTAGTCTTCTTGACTCTATCTACTGGGCCACCTTACTGCCCAGAAAAGAGCACCTGAATGTATTTATACTAGAATTATTCCATGGAAAGTGAGTATGTCTGAGTTTTAGTTTGCATCAAGTGCTTATCTATGTTAGGTCTACGGGTACATGCATTTTGGCTCTCTGAGTATAGGTTCTGCTTTCTTTGAGAAATTTGAATTTTCCCAGGGATATGATATATGGCTGCCTTTCTTTTGAGACTTCCAAACAGGATCAATGTTTGTTCCTTTTCCATTACTTCAACTGATGCTGAAGCTGGGCTTTTATCTCTTTAAAAGAACCAAAACCTATTTGCAAATCTCTGCTCACATTAGTATTAATCACAAAAACAAGGATTAGCACCTAATTTTCATTTTCTCAATGGGGAATAAAGTTATAGCAATGAAAAGACAGTGAACAATTAGGAGGGTTTGGATGGAAAGGAGCTAGTAGTTCAAGTTGTCAGCTGCAAAGGTGGAATCAACTTCTTACTTTGCTGGGCTGAAAAGAGATTGAGCTCAGATGAGTTGGGGGTCTGCTCCCTTACCAGCACTAGAAAGAAAAAAGGCTAAAGAACAGGATATTGGTTTGATGCATGCATTTCTCAGCAATCTGTCTAGGACCCCTCAATCCATACTGAAATAGTAATTTAAAAAGCGTTAAGAGATAGAGGACAGGGAACATTAAGTATATATAATGGATGCATTGCTCAATCCTGTCCACTGCTCTTCCTGTCTCATGGTTCAGATGGGAAATATTTCTATTTTATCTCCCTAGAAGCCTCTAAAACCAAGTTTGAAAAGATATCGCCATTGGTGGTAGTGGTGGTGGTGGAGAGAGTTGATGTTGTAGTATAAGTAGTAGTTGGTGTTGTAGTGTAGCGTAGAGTGAAGTTGTAGTCATATTGTTGCAAAAAAAAAAAAGAAAGACAGAAAAGTATCAATGAAATATTTAAAAATATACAGAAGAGAATAGAAGGACATTCAGAAGGGGAAACAGATAAAAGCAAGGCAGTGTTGGTGATTTTACTCATTTACAAACGAACAAAAATACTGTACATAATGGAGCAGGGCAGCTACATGGCACAGAAGATAAAGTGCTGGGCCTGGAGTCAGGAAAATTCATCTTCCTGAGTTCAACTCTAGCCTCAGACACTTACTAGCTGTGTGATTCTGGGCAAGTCACCTCACCCTGTTTGCCTCAGTTTCCTCTTCTGTAAAATGAGCTGGAGAAGGAAATGGCAGACCAGTCCAGTATCTTTGCCAATAAAACTCCAAATAGTGTCAAGAAAAGTTGGACATGACTGAAAAACAACTCAACAATGACAACAACAACATAATAAAGATATATGTTTTGACGTATAATCTTTTTCTGCTCTTTGTATATGGAAATATATGTTGATTTTTGTCAAGTTCAATATAAAAGAAAATATTTCCCTTTTTTGAACTCTTAATACATATAGCACCAAGGCCACTCATTTGATACAATGGAATTTTTATTTTTTATGTTTTTATGTATATATAACTGTCTTCTACTAGACAGTAAGATTCTTAAGAAAAGAGAATGTATTTTATATTTCTGTTTAATATTCCAAGCACCTACCACATTGTTCTGCACATTTCAATTAATCAGTAAAATATGTTGATAGTATACCTAGTTAAATCTGATAGGTAGAATTACTTCATGTGGGAAATGCATGAGTCATTACTTCTTGAAACTGTCCCCATGATGACATTTCAAATGACCCTAGAATCTAACCATTATCCTCATTGCCATCACAGACTCACTCTTTTTACACCATCCTTAAGAATTCAATTAAATCTGACAAACACTGATTGCCCACTACATTCTGTGCATGTCATTAGGAATTAGAGCTATAAAGACAAAAATAAACTTACAAGGAGCTTACGTTTTTCTTGGGAAAAAGAGCAACTGCTCTGGAGTCAGATGACCTGGCTTCAAATCCTGCTTCTGATGTTAACTATTTATTTGATTTTGGGCAAATTTCTCCTCCCTGGGATTGAGTTTCATCATCTGTAAAATAAGAAAGTAGCAATAGATGGCTTCTGAGATCCCTTTCAGCTCTATATCTTATCACCCAGGGATCCTAGAGAAGTGAATAATAATAATAATTTTTTAAAAAATGATTTAAAAATTTACTTATCATAGGTAAGTAAATACAAAGCATATACAAAAAACAACAATAATTGGGCAGTCTCCTGGGACCTATCACGGTAGCTTTCATATGAAAGTTATGATCAATTACTGAACCCCAAGTTGAATTATACATGAGAAGGATTCTGTGTGTCAATGGATGATTTCAGATCTCACATAACTTACTCAGGGAACAAACTAATTCTCCTGGTAATTCTCTCAGGGTAATTCTCCTGACCTCAGAATATAAGTTAAAGTCATCCCATGGCAATAAAACATGTTCTGTGAAAGGGGAAAATTCTACTCAGAAATTGTACTTAGGAAGAGGCAGCATAAGATAATAGAAAAAGGCACTGATTAAGACACAGAAAACTTGGTTCTAGGCTCACTCCTACTATTTCCTGTCTTTACCTTGGGAGGTCACTGAACCTCTTCAATTTCTTCACTTGTAAAATGAGTTGGATCAGGTAATCTTAGAATATTAGAAAGTTTTGTGATTTTTTCTGAGATATTGCCATCTGTCTTTCTGTAGTGACTTATCACATATAAGCTATAATGAGCTTTATTGCTGGGAATCATATCATAAGTCTTTGGCAAGTTATCTTATTACTAAAGTGAAAACACCACCAGGAAATATCCTTTTTCACTTATAAGGCATTCTCTCATTACAGAACTCCTCCAAATATAAATTCTTTCTGACTTCTGAATAATTTTTAATTCAGTCTGTTTTTTTGCATTTAATCTTAATTTATAATACATTTCACTAAAAACAAGGTCATATCATTTCAAGTTCAAGCTAATTACACTCACAAAGTCTTACTTCAGAGTGCAAGTCAATACTTGTGAGTACAAGGTACATTGCCAAAGTTTTTATAGAGGTTTCACAGTAAACAGATCTCCTTTAAAAGGAGTTATAAACAGTTAGGTTTCCTGCTACAGATACATCCTATGATGTTAAATGTACTTTCAACTTCCTACTAAATTTTAAACTGAAACTAGTTTATTTTTTTTGAGGTTTTTTTAATATAAATTTATTTTTAGTTTTCAATATTCACTTCCACAAGTTTTTGAGTTCCAAATTTCTCACCCCTCCCCCCACCCCAAGATGGCATGCATTCTGAATACCCCTTCCCCTGGTCTTCCTTCTCTTCTATCTCTCCCCCCTCCCTTCTCTTATCCCCTTCCCCTTCTATTTTCCTGTAGAGCAGGATAGACTTCTGTACCCCATTTCCTGTATTTCTTATTTCCCAGTTGCATGTGAAAACATTTTTTTAAACATGTGTTTTTAAAACTCTGAGTTCCAAATTTTCTCCCTTCCTCCCTCACCACCCACCCTCATTGAAAAGGCAAGAAACTCAATATAGGTTGTACATGTGCAGTTATGCAAAACACTTCCTTAGTAGACATGTTTGAAACTAGTTTAAGTGGGGCTTGGTGGTGTGTTGCTTCGCAGAAAATAGCTTCAGGTTGTTGCTGTAGTTACTCTTAAAAATTTAGATTATTTACTAAGAATGTTATAAAATGCTGGGGAAAATAGGCAATTGTACAAAAAAAAGATCATCTACTTATTTGGAAAGAGGTTCTGTATATTGGATGCTATAGCCCCAGATCCCCTGTGTAAACGACATACAAAAAAAGAGTGGGGTGTCATCATATTAAATATATCACATATTCATTAAAATTTAAACCCAGGGGAGGGAACCCAATGATTTCCACTAAAAGAAGACTCTATTGTATCTGTATTCATGAGATTTCAATGGTGGTATATCATTAAAAGTAATGGATAAAGGAAGGAGTTACCTTATGTAACCATGTCTAGAGAGGGGATTCTTAGCTAAAAAAGGGATAGAGGTGATCAAACCAGACAAAATGACTGATTTCAGTTGCATAAAATTAAAAAGCTTTTGCGTGAACAACATCATTGAAATTGGAATGAAATGAGAACTAGTTAATTGGATAAAACTTTCAGCAACTATCTCCAATAAAAGTTTGACATCCAAGATACATAGGGAATTAATGGAAGTGTAACTGACTTTTGAGCATGCTCAGCTCACCTGAGATGGAGGCACCTGTGTAGGAGATGGCAGGGACCTGCTTCTGGCAGAAGACATTCTTCATTCCCCTACCACATGGGTGAGAATAGCCTCTTTCCATTAGTTGCATAGCTAGAATTGGCTGTGGCTTTAAATCTACCTGCCTGAGGTACAGTCATTCTCTCTCTTTCCAGTTTTGTCTAGGGGTAAAGGTCTTATTCACCCATGTGGAAATCTGGAGAGACTAATGTGAACTGATCCAGGGCAAAGTAAGCAGAACCAGGAGAACAATTGACAAAATGACTATGATAGCCATCAATCATGACTTCAGAGGACTTGATGGTGAAGCATGTTTCCTGCATTTAGACAGAAAGGAGGTGAACAATAGGTGCAGAATGAGGTATATGTTTTCACCTATTCAATTTGTTGATTTGTTTTGTTTTACTGTGCTAATTTGTTATGAAGGATGGGTTCCCTGGGGGAGGGCAGAGTCATAAGGAAGTCAAAGTGATGAAGAAAAAGAAAAAAACTTCAATAAAGTATTTAAAAGGATTGAATAGTGGTAGAACTGTCACAGTAATAACAGCAATGCAACTCATATTTATAAAGAATTTTAAGTAAGAAAGAGTGTTTTCCTCAGAAATATTATGGTTCACATTTTAGCAAGAGGCAACAAAGTTTGAGAGAAGTAGATGACCTAGGGTCATCAAGTTAAGTGAACCAGGACTTGAACCATTTTTTTCTGGCTCCCAGTCCTGTGATCTTTCCATTATATTACTGTGACACTTCCTCTTAGCTTAAAATTTTATTAAGGTAGGTATTCTCAGTGGTGTACTTGTTCAGTAGCAAGTCAAATCCACAATAGAAATGGAAACCTGTCCCATAAATCTGGTCTGACTCCTACAGTTCTCAAATCTCTGCAAATGAGCTGGAAAAACTATTACTTGTATGGGAACATATTAAAAACTTCTTTTTCAGTTCAACTGAAAATATTAAAATTGGTGATGGACCCATTTCCTAATCTCTGTTTTTATCATAAGAGTTTCAGTCTGGCCATTATATTCAGCAGAAAACATATAATGTCTCTTCTGTACACTAATATGTCCTCAAAACTCTATGCGTTGGGAGATACTGGCAAAATTTTTCAACTGGTCCTGATTCCCAAAGGGAGGGCATTTGACTGTCTTGACCAGACCCATGGCCACTGCTCATGAATCAGTGCAGAAGCTCTTATCTACTCTGTTACTCAAGCATGCTTCATAAAGGAGCCATATAGCTCAATAGTCCACTGGAAGGATTTGTGGGGTCTCTCAGGGCATCACCTGTTATCAGATTAATGACTAATGAGGTTCAGTCACATATACCCCTCTTCTAGAGGGTAGAACTGTCAATGAATCAGGCAAGATAGAATTTCTAAGGAGCCAGGTCTTCATAGGCAGAGGCCCATTGGGTAAGTAAAGAAGGCAAGGCATTGGGAAGAGGACTGGTGGTCTCACTATTTAGCAGAGACACAATCTGTTCATGAGGGATATTAACATCTGAGAGAAGTAGGTGAGCGTTATATTGGATTTTTAAAATTAAAATTTTGTTTTAAAAATTCTGAACTTAAACACCATTACTACTACTAATAAGCATTTCTATATACACAGCAGAACCCCAAAACACCATTCTATATGAAATCACTCCATTAATTTTTTTAAGAACATACAATAATTTCCTAATGTTACTTTCGGAAGACTTCTTCTCTGTGCTTTCTTCTGAACAACCTTTTGGTCTCTTCCGTGCATTTAAAAAAATGTATCAATGGCCTTCTTTTTTGAAATACCTATTGCTAACCCTCTCCTCTTCCCCACTCAACTCCAGTTGAAAAATAAAACACAGAAGCTACCAAGTCTCATGTAATCCTGACTATAGTTCCTTGGTACTTACTGTACAATTGCAACATTTTTCCTTTGATGTGGGAACTCTGAATTTTAGCTATGAGAGTCCTAGCCCTTTTCTCAATCCTAAGGCTTTCTTATCATCCTGAAGCTTTCTCAGGAGAGCCTTCTTCTCTAGCTAATTTCAGACACAAAGCCTTGAAGCCCTACACTAGTTTCCAGCATGTCTTCTGTTGCACTGAAAGGCTGCTGACTTGTTTTCTTACACCTGTGGTAGCTTTTCTGGAAGTCCCCTTCCTCATTGTCTATGGTCTGCTGACTGTGTGTGTGTGTGTGTGTGTGTGTGTGTGTGTGTGTGCGTGCCTGAACAGTTATATCATGGAAGAAGTGTGGATTTAGGCTTTTTCCTTCAGTAGGTATGTGGGACTTGGGCATAGCTATGTTCAAGAAGCCATCTTGGCCAGAAGTCTCAAGCCATTTCTGTTTAACAGTGGAAGCATTCTGTAGCCCATCTATTTTGTTAAAGAGACCACCTTGCCTTGTTCAACTCATAAAATATAACTTCAGATGAAGGATGTTGGATGGTTCACTTTAGGTCTTCCGAGACAGTTATCTGTTTTTGGACAGTCTCCAGCTTATCAATGTCCTTCTTAAACTGTTAATGCCTAGATATTAATACAATACTGCAGATGAGTTCTGATTGGGCAGAGTACAGAGAGACCATTACTTCCCTATTCCTGGAAACTATGTCTCTCTTAATGTAGCCTGAGATTACATTAGTTTTTTTGGACTGCTGTATCATACTGTTGACTAATATTGACTTTGTAAACCACTAAAGCCTCCAGATTTTTTCAGAATCTAACTGTGCCTCCCCCATCTTATATTTGTAAAGTTGACTTTTCTTTTTTTTACCCAAGTACAAACCTTTATATTTATCCCGAGCTGATTTTAATCATATTAGATGTAGCTCAATGTTCTAGTATATCAAGATGCTTTTGGATACTGATAGTCATCTGCTGACTTCATTAACTATCTTCTGAGCTTTGTGTCATGTACACATTTGATAAGCATACATGAGATGGCGCAGGCAACTCCAAGAGATTCCATTTGGTCTTAGCACAACAACCAGTCGCTGTAAAGCCTTGTATAAGTATACATACTTCCATTCCCACAATACACCCACCCTGATTAGCCACTATAACTACCACGTGAGGATCTTCTGCTCATGTCCTCCTAAGAAAAGATGCCTCTTCCCTCTGGGTCCTGCTCCTAAAACCCTGGATTAAAAACTAGCATCCCCCTATAGACCCACCAGAGGTCCTGTTGTATGATGGTAACCTGAATACTAGTATCTGCTTGCCCTTTATGTGACAATCACTCTCTTTCTGAGCAACCATGAATCAAACATATGACCCTTGGTTACCTATTGTTACTATGGTTAGGATGAGATAAGTCTTGAGGAAACTTCACTTTTAGCCTTAAATTAGTTTCATCCCAGAAATTCCTCAAGTTTAGATCTAGACTATTGGCTGATGGGGCAGTTAGGTGGCACAGTGGATAGAGCACCTGCCCTGAAGTCAGGAGGACCTGAGTTCAAATCCAGCCTCAGACCAACCACTTAACACTTACTAGCTGTGTGACCCTGGGCAAGTCACTTAACCCCAGTTGCCTTAAAAAAAAATAGACTATTGGCTGATTCGAGACTGCCTAGTTTCTGGCGTAAGGGCCAGAAAGGCCCTTATGGTCCCAACACAGATTTCCTGATACAGTTTTACTAGCATCCACGTAGACTGTGATCAGTATTCTCCTTCTCAGTCCAGTATTTCAGGAGCCACCCATAAAGTTCCTTATGGGAGAGGATGTCCTCACCTTCAGTCAACAGAGCCAGATGGTGGATTTCCAGAGTGTCTATTTATGTGGACAGTTGTATTTGCCTGGAATGTTGCTAAAGATCTGTCCTGATCTTTCACTCAAATTTCACAGTTGAAGAATACATGCTTTTCTGGTGGTTTGGGAGGGTCATATTTAAAGCCTGATAGTTTTCAGCTAGGGCTGTGTTAAGAAGGCAGGCTCTGATTACCGCCTATGCAGGATTTTCATAGAGTATAATGTACACACAGAACTGTTTTACTGTTACACAAGCTTATTAGGGCTGATGGCACACTAACAAGACATACTCATCAAAGACTATAATCAAACTTTATTGACTATTCAATGACACAAACATTAACCCCTCTAGGAGCAAACCACCAAGCAGATTCCCAAAGATTCCAGTAAGTGTGCATTATACCAGTGCCCATGACAATGTTAATTCTGTGCCCAGCCAGAGGCTGTGTGCCTCCCTGCTAGGTGGCATTCTGGAAAGTCTCCACCGATCAACAATGGTCTCAAGAAAACATGGGATGCTTGAATTTCTAAGTGTGAGGAATGAAGGAGTCTGTCCTGATCATGACCCAGAAGCCGACTGATGACTGGGGCCTCTGTAGCATTTTATGGTTCTGGCTAACGGTGTTTACACATTACTTCTAAGTTCTGATTGATGATTGATTACCTAAGCTTATAGTGAAAGGAAACTACCAATCAAAGCTTTAGTTTCCTAATGCCATTACTATGGGAATTGAGTGAACTACACTGACTCCATCTTGTGACTCAGTTCTGGATCTGGCTCAGTTCCCTTTCTATTCAGTTATGGGTCTAGTCCAATTATTTTCTTGTGAGAAAACTTTATTCAGTTATGGGAATTGTGAGCCTTATTGCATTGTTTGAACCTATCCCTGAGTATATAGGAAGCTGGACTACCTCTACCCACTGCTTAGAGACTCTTACCTAAGGAACTAGGTTATTCTGACCAGCAACCCAGTCAGATCTGAAGGTTTATAAACATTTCAAGCAAACCATATCTCTTATCTGAAAACTGACCTTCTACTGGTCAATCAGTTATTGTTTCCATATTCCTTTGATTGAATACAGACACTTGGGGAGAATGAGACACCCCTTTTTCTGATTTCAGGGAATTGCACCTGTTCACGCTCACCCTCCCAACTTGGAAAGTCCCTAATCTTTCCAAACTTAGAAATCAGATTACCTAATTTTGGATCCTGGTTCATTTTTTTTTTCAATTAGTTATCTTATTTGATTGTTTTTAATACATAAAAATCTGTCTCACTCTGTATTCCGGGTCTTTGGACTGACTGGGGAGTTCATTGACCCACTTAGTATGCCTGTTTTGCTATTTGCCAGTTTTTATATAGCTTGAATTGTTTCCTTAGTTATTCTGCCACATTACCAAGTGTTTTTTATCAGTTGTTTACCAGACTCATACATCATTAGTTGTTGTTTACCAATTACTCAAGTGCTTATCTTATTACAGCAAAAAAACAAAACAAAAAAAGAAACATTATGTAACAGCTACTTAGTTATAAAATGAAGACTTCAAAACAAATGAAGTTGCTCATCCTAAATTAACATACTTATTCCCACTACTTTGGGCATAGGAGGACCAGAGGTGGGACTGTACAGGACAGAGATCCAATCCACCAAAATGTTCCTTTTGGAAAGCTCACTTTCTCTTTAGATGAGGACCTTCAAGGAACCAGCTGTGATGAGAACATATCTGTATGGAGCCAAATATGTTCAACTGCTTATCCTAGCAACTGAAAAACACTCCAAGGATGATCCCCACCTGGGACCTCTGGTTCTGAAGAAGTAAATATTCTATACGTTGAAGGAGCTCTTCTACGTTGAGGAGCTCGGCAATGGCCCCTTTGACCTTATCCTCACCAACCATGATTCCAGTGACTCATTAGTTTGTTGTTTAAATTTCTTCTGCAGGCTTCTGGGGTCCTTGGTGAGTAAAATCTGACCACGCTCTAACCCTTCTGTGGAGGAAGTCACTCCTTGGTGGGCTGTTTATGAGGTGTTCCCAAGGTTCCCTTGCTTTTTGGGTAAGTTTCCAGTTCTCATCCTCACTCTTACTCCCATTTTCTTCCTTTGTATTACTCATCTAAGTGGATTGCAACACATTTTCCATTAAGACTTCTGGGATGAGGAATATACTTCCTACCTATACCTTATCACTCTAACTTCCATTAGTATGGACTCTTTTCACTTGTGCTATTACACAGTGTTGCCCCCGTGCCTTCAAGGCAACAGCCTTAAAAAACAATTGCTTTCTTGAGTTCTGGAATGTTCAGGCACAGTTTCCATTTTATTTTCCTTATGCTGGTGAACAAGATTTTTTTTTTTTAACCATTAACGGTAGCCGGGAAATGTTTACCATGGCCATATCTTTATCTTCCATGTCACCTTCCTTTGCTTAGAGCTAGATGGCTCAGTAGATATAGTGCTGGGCCTACAGTCAGGAAGATCTGAGTTCAAATCCAGCCTCAGACATTTACAAGCTGTGTGACCTGGGCAAGTCACTTAACCTCTGTTTGCCTTAATGCACTACAGAAGGATATGGCAAACCACTCCAGTATCTTTGCCAAGCAAACCCCATGGACAGTATGGTCCACAGGGTTGTGAAGAGTCAGACATGATCAAAAAATAACAACAAAATTAATTTTATCAGGTCGTTGGAGACCCTCTTTCTGTTCCATTGAGAGGACTCCTCACATACAGCTATCATTGTATAGCTACAGGGTGTTCTAGGCTGCCATACAACAACCATTTGATTACCCAAGGCTAGCCATGCTGAATCATCTTCCCGGTTTTACTCCTAAAGCCAGCCATGAGGTCATTATAGTTCAATCTTATTTCCCAACACTAAATGTTGTGGGCTCCAGTGACTTGTGTCAGTCTGGTGATTTAAGCTTGGGAATGAAGTGAGACACTCATAGACCATTTAAAATTGTGCAAAGTGATACTGGCTGACAATAGCATGGAAAGGATACAGCTCTGATAGATGGTGCTGATAGATACAGTTTCACTGGTCAACATGTGGAATTACATCTGTTTAGAAGGGTACATTGGATCATAATCGTTTTTTGACTCATATGGCAGTGAGATATCCGTTAAATATGGGGAGACCTCCACAAATCTCTGTGGGGGGTCCATTGATGGGACTGCTCTGTTAACAAGGTAGGGAGGCCCTGTACTCCTCTGCCCTCTCAGGAGTTACATTATGATACCTAGAGAGTTGAAACCAAGAGGGTAGCCCAAAAGAAAATGAGCTCAGAGGGGTCAGTAGCTCATTTCTTTTTTTTTTTTATCCACAAGTAATCAGTTTTTTGAGCTCAGCAGACAATTTCTAGATTCCTATAATGTCAGCTCTGAATCACTCTCAGCTGAAAGCAGGCTTGAAAACTCCTGTGTAGTGAATTGGGGGCAGGCAGGTTATATCTGTGCACAAATGCTTGTTGAACTGCTCTGTACAACCCATATTATACATATGTTGGGGGTGCATGCTCATTTTTTTTTATTGATAGCTCAGTATCAAAAAAGTTTGGAGACTATTGCACAAAGGTATTAAAGAACACTTTAAGTACCTCTTCTATGGATATTAGTATTTCAACAGGACCATAGCTTTAAGATAACCCATAGAATTTCAGACATTGAATAGTCTCTAATGGATCTCTTTGTTTCCAGGATCTTCTCTCTCCAATTCAACTTGCACATAGTTGCCAAATTTATATTACTAAAACAAAGATCTGACCATGTAACTCCATACTCAAAATTTTTTTAAAATTTCCTATTCCCTCTACAAAAAGTACCATATCCTCAGACTCAGCCCCTCAAAATCTGCCTCCTCTTTAACTTTCTAGTGTATTACTTCTCTTCATACAACTCTCCATTTTAATCAAACCAGTACTGTTCTCTTACATGACATTCTATCTCCTCTCTTTGCATCTTTGCAAAGTGTTCCCTACCCTCCCACCATGGGTAGAATACATTGCCCCTACAAAGAATTGGAAATTGAGGGGATGTCTGTCAATTGGGGAATGGCTGAACAGGTTGTGGTATATGAATGTAATGGAATATTATTATTCCGTAAGAAATGATGAGCAGTTGGATTTCAGAAAAACCTGGAAAGACTTACATAAACTGATACCAAGTGAAGTAAAGAGAATGAGAACATTGTACATAGTAACAGCAACTTTGATAGACTTAGCTGTCCTCAGCAATACAATGATCTAATATAATTCCAAAAGACTCAAGATGGTCGTGCACATCCAGAGAAAGAACTATGGAATCTGAATGCAGATCGAAGCATACTATTTTTTCTTTTTTTCCTTTCTCATGGTTTTTCCCTTTTGTTCTGATTCTCCACCATATGACTAATGCAGAAATATGTTTAATATGATTGTACATGTACAGCCTATACTAGATTGCATGCTGTCTTGGGGAGGGGTAAGAAGGGAAAATTTAGAACTCAAAATCTTATAAAAGTGAATATTGAAAAAAAAAGTAGCTATTTTATATACTTATGCTATTAAACATTAAATTAAAAGAAAATTAAATTAAAGGAAAAAATACATCACCTTCACACCTCCACCTTGTAGAATCCTCACCTTTTTGCAAAACACAGTTCTAGTGTTACTTCCTTCAAGAGGCCTTTGAGGTCCGCAGTCATTATCACTCTCTTCCTCTTGACATTATTTTGTATTGCTTGTGTGATTGTACCTATAAGTAGAATGTAAGTCAGCTTGAGGGTAGGGACTTTCATTTTTGCGTAACACCCTTGTGGGTATGGCTATTCTCACTCTGTGAGCTGGCTCACTTCCCCTTAACTTCTGTCACATTGACTGGTGTGGGATTTCCAGAGAAAAGCCACCACTATACAACTCCAATTAAAACTCTCTCAGGATCCTAGAAATAACTTTGCTGTGGGAAGAATACAATCCTACTACTCACTAGTATATGGCCCTGATTCTGCCACTGGTATGCTACCCATTTAGAAGGCACCATGACAATATTAGATCTTAAACATAAAACAATATCAAAGTTATTCAGCATAAAGGAAACAACACTAATAATCTCTACCAACAAACCTAGGTCACACTCTCCCATGAACACTTATAGAAACCCAGCAGGGAGGCATGTGGATGGGGAAACACTTGGTCCTGGAGTAATTTATGATTTTGAACTGCAAGATTTGAAGACTTGGTCCCATCAGGGACAACACACAATGCACAAAGCCACTTCTCTGTGAGCTGCTCTCTTTTAGGTCCTCACTACTGTCTTGTTGGGCATCCACTCATACTGATGAAGCAAGGACAAGATCTTTTAACTCACCATCATCCTTAACCAAGGTGCTGAGAAAATGTTATGCTCCTGTAACAGCAAGAAGTTCGCTTAAGTGAGAGTAGCTCACTTAAGAACAGCTTAAGAAGAACAGCTTCTCAGGTTGGTTCATTAGATCCTGTAGAGATGCTCAGTCAGTTATTCCCTAGACAGGATCCTACACTAATTGCTTCCAAGTATGTTCTTAAAGGAAAACAAATAGAAACAAATTTAAAAAAAAAAACAGACTCAAAGCCTATCTTTTCTTTACATTTTTCTTTCTAAAGCAATAGAGAACAACCAGGTTATCTCTGAGAGGCTTGATGGCTTTCAAACTGTAGATAATGCCTTAGGGTAACATCTGCTAGAGTAAGAGATCTCTCTTACAATGAACTGCAAGCTTTCCCCAACCAATCAGCAAACACCCTGCATGGAAGTCGAAGCCTTCCTATTAGCTGGCTCAGGGGTTGACTTCTTAACTCTTTCATAGCTGGTTTTTCCATCTCTCCATACTTCAAATCAATGGGTCCTGCTGGTCAGTGATTCTGCTTTCCCTCATGGGAGTAAAAGTCATGGAATCTATTTTTTTTCTGTCAATTATGAAGCCAGGCATCCTTATTTAACCTTCTCACAGTTTCCATGTAATTATCTGATGTAGCATTTTGAAAGTTATAACTTTCCAAAGACTAAAAAAAAAGTCACATGTAAATGAAGAATCACACTACCTTGCAGGCTTAGTCAACTTTTTGAGGTCAAACAGGTCCTCTCAGTCCATTCATCTGAGGGGCAGTTCTCTATCTGTTTCTTTTAACAGTCTGTGCATCTCTTCATATTTTCTTAGAGAAACTATTCCTTCACATGTGAATTTTATTGGTCAGTCAACTAGCATTTATTAAGCACCTACAATGTGCTAAGTGCTAGGGATACAAAACAATGCAAAAAACCCCCAAACAAACAAAAAGTCTGCTCTCAGGGAGCTCACAGTGTAATGGGGAAAACAAAATGAAATCAACCATGTACCAAGATATATAGTCATTTAAAAAAATAGACCAAAGTTATTTTTCTACCTTTTTCCAGAAGCAAACTGTTCACATGTGAAAGAGTGTATAGTACTTTACATTTGTTTTCTATTCCAAGTGACCAGAAAAGTGCCTTATAAATAGTAGGCATTTAATAAAATTATGTCAAATTGAAGTAACCAGGAATGAATGAAGCTATGTGGGGACATGTGTCAGATCTTAGATGACAGGTGCTTACTCCTGGCAAGTTTTGAAAACAGTGCCATCCTGTCTGTTCCTGTCCACCAGAGGCCTCAGGAGATTTTGTGGTCCACCAGTGGTGTTTCACATGTAAACAATTCTATGTGTGACTGGTGAAAGGAGGTAGCAGTTTGGACTCTTGTCAGCTGTCAAGACTATGATTCTGGATCTCCTTCAACCAGCACTCAACTTTGTACTGTAGCTTGATTATTATTCCTGTTGTTGTTGTTGTTGTTTTAATCTAGGTATATGACTCATTCAATCTCTGGCTTGTGCCTCTGCCAATGTGACCTCGTTACTTTCTTTTCCAGAATTCTATATCAAAAGATGCCTTTGCACACTGAGGCATTACTTTAGTAAGCAATGTAATTGGAATAGGTAAAAAGGTTAATAAAATGTAAATAATAGAACCCTGCCCCTTTCAGAATGGGATTTTATTCCTTGCTCCTATTAAAGGTTGAAAAAAACAATTCAAGATCTTACTGCAAAGTGTCTGACTTTCATAATGAAGATGTCAAGAGTTATGATTCAGTCTCTCATTACTGGCTAGGAGCTGAAATTCTTCACCTCGGTTCAGATAGCTGCAGAAAATTGCTCATTGCTTATCCTACTCTGGTGTCCGCTGCCATATCAGGGCCTGGCTCATCTCCCCCATCACTGAAGGTACAGCAGAGGCTACTTGATGTTCTTCTTTCACCTCTGAGGAAAAGACTGTGTCTACAACAGCAACCTTTTCCCATTCCTTATCTTATCTTGAACCTTCAAAGTTCACACATAGTGATCTCTGATCCTTGGGAAATCATTTTCGGAAATCAAGTACTCTTTGCTCCAAATCCTTCTGGGGGTAGTTGATAAGGAAAAAAACACTCTGTATGTTTCTAGATACAGGCCCTTTATGTCCACAAAAAAACAAAAGTTCTTTAAAAAAAAAAAGAAATATAAACAAGGCTGCTCCTACAAGTTTATAGCAGCAAAAGGTCCTCAGAGCTCAAGGTGATTCCATGGATTCACTGTATCATAGGCAGAGGTGTACATGAGCCAGCTCTAAATAGCTTGAGAGTGCCAATTGTTAAATTTTCAATATTAGCATTTACTACTTGAAAATCTACAAACACTACAAATCATGGTTTCACTTATTGTTTTATCAATTGTCTAGATTTAAGAATGTCATAGGAAAAAAATGTTAATAATGCAGATTAAACTTAAAAGTTTATCTTGTGTAAAATTCCTTCCACCTCCCCCTGCTACTCCACTCACCTCTCCCCCAAAGAGCTGGTTGTTAAACACTTGCCAGCATACTCCTGACCATAGGGGTAACTTGGTGTTCTAATTTACAGAGGGATGAGCTATTTGAGCTATCAAGGTTCTCTGTACTCCCGTGATTCTGCAGAGTATAGCCTTTTCCTCATTAACTAATATAAACCTTTATAACATTTAAGAAAGTTAAATGCTATTGCACTACTGGTTTCTTTATTAATAAAGTGATGAGGTTGAATTTGATAAGCTCTAAGATCACTCTAATGTTCTATACTCTTAAGATTAAATTAGTGACACATAAAGAGATGAAGAAATGTCTAAATTTACTCAGTGAATGATGACAAAGTAACGAGAATAAGTTGTTTCCTATCTCTCAAGAGCAAACATCCATCATTGAATCAAGGACCAGAAATAGTTACTGTTTTATTCAAAAGTGGAAGCTAGAATCATTTCAGAGAAAGAGAGAGCAAAACAGGAAGAGAAACCCCATTAATGTCTGTTTATAGCAGCAGTTGGACATATCAGCTACAAACTTTCGTTTTCTTTTTGAGAATGAATTATCAACCACAGAGAAAATTTTCACTCAGGCCCTAAATTAGGCTTTCTTGCTGTTTTCGATATTAACCAAATCTTTGTGGTGTTATAGAAATAGAGCTTAGTGACTGTATGAAGTCTTTTTTCTTTCTATAAGCTATGCAGTCACTGTCAAAGTTAAAGAAACTTTAGCATGTCAGTTCATTCATTTATTCACTCATTCTTTCATTCTCATTCATTAATTAAGTAAGCTTTCATTGAGAGTCTATTATGTACCAGGCACTATACTAGGCACCAAAAAAAAAAAAGAGAGACAGAGTACTTGGTCTGAGAGAGCTTACAGGCTATTGGTGTACATGTACCAATGCATGTATATGTAACAACATGTACATAAATAACTAAACATAAAATATATAGAAGGAAGTACAAAGTAAATTCAGAATAAAGAGGCACCTTTATCCATCCAGAGGCACTGAGTGGATCAGAAAAGGCCGCATGTGTGTGGTGGTATTTAGGCTACTGCCAGAAGGAGAGCTAAGGACTGTAAGAGCAGAGGAGAAAAGAGAAAGTATTATATACTTGAGGGAAAGTCCATAGGCACAGAGGCAATAGATGGCACATCACCACCCTTTATGAACCTAGAAAAGGAGTCTAGACCCCAGCTGTGAAGAGCTTAAATGACAAACAGAAGAATTTATATTTTATCCTGGAGGCAATAAGGAAATACTGAGCATTTACCTAAGACCATCAGCAAACATTATTTGTAATGGGAATAAGCTAGAAGCTTTCCCAGTAAGATCAGGTGTGAAACAAGGATCCCCACTGATACTAGTATAATTCAAAATTGGATTGGAAATTCTAGCAACAGCAATAAGAGAAGAAAAAGAAATAGAAGGAATCAGAATAGGGAACAAGGTAATAAAACTCTCTTTTTGCAGATATGATGTTATATTCAGAAAATCCCAAAGACTCAACTAAAAAATTAGTTGGAACAATAATTTTAGCAAAGTAGTAGGATATAATGTTAAATCCACATAAATCATCAGCATTCCTATATATCACAAACAAAACCCTGCAAGAAGAGATAGTAAGAGATACCCCATTTAAAATAACTCTAGGCAATATAAAATACCTGAGAGTATACCTGCCAAAAAAAAAAACCCAGGAACTATAAAAACAAAATTATAAAAGAACTTTTCATACAAATAAAATCAGATTTAAATTGTTCATGGGTAGGCAGGACCAATATAATAAAGTGACAATTTTACCTTAACTAATTTATATATTCAATGCTGTCCCAATTAAATTATGAAAAACTTATTTTACTGAATTAGGAAAAAATAATAACCAAATTCATTTTGAGGAACAAAAAGTCAAGAATATCAAAAGAACTAGTCAAAAAAAGTGAAGGAAGGAGTTCTAGCAGTACTGAAACTTTTTGAGCAAGGAAATGACAGCTCACATTTATGCTTTAGGAATATCAATTTTGTATCTATTGGAGGATAGATTTTAGAGGGGAGAGATGAGTTAGGAAGGACTAATTAATAGGCTACTATAATAGTACAGGTGAGAGGTGGTAAGGGTCTGAATTGGGGGGTGGTTGTCTGAATAGAGAAATGGGGATAGATGTAATGTGCTAGAGAGATGTCATGAAGGTAGAAATGAGAAGACTTGGAAGCTAATTTGATGTGAGGGATAAAGGAGAGCCATGAATGATTCCAAAGTTGTGAACCTGTGTGACAGAAAGATTGGTAGTACCCTCTACAGAAATAAGGAAGTTATGGAAAATGTGTTTGGAAGGAAAGATAAGGAAATCCAGTGGAAGATATCCAAAGGGAATTTGTTGATGTAGGACTGGCACTCTAGAGAGAGACAAGGGCTGGATGTTTAGATTTGTGAGTCATTTGTATGGCAATGATAATTAAATCTGTGGGTGTTGATAAGATTACTGAGCCAGAGGGTTTAGAGAAAAGAAAGAAGAGGATCCAGGACAAAGCCTTAGGGCACTCTGTTGGAAGGCAACCACTGACTGAAGGAACTTGAGAGATCTATCTACTTATCAGGACAGACTTCTGTATTGTAAGGCTCCTTCTGGCCATGATTCTTTTTTCATTTCTTTCTGTTATTCTGGCCAAAGACTTCTCTTTGTTGTTAACAATCATTTTAGCAGGGTTTGTACTGGCTGTCATGCAAGAGGGCCCAAGTCACTAAAAATCCTGGGAAATGTGCTTTTTTTTTCTAGCATAGGAAGAGGAAAAGCTAATTGAATGCCCACTTGAAGCTTACTTTCTCAACTCACAAAACTACTGGCTGATTGGTTCCCCAGATCTGTTCTGGAGTTCTAGGTCCTAGGTTTTAGGAATCTAAGAGCAATCTGAGAGACAGTTAGGTGGCACAGTGGACAGAGTACTGGGCCTGGAGTCAGAAATATTTGAATTCAAATCCAGCCTCAAACACTTACTAGCTGTGTGAACCTGAGCAAATCACTTAATCTCTGTTTGCCTCAGTTTCTTCAAATGTAAAATGGGGATAACTATAGCACATGTTTCTCAGGGCCATTGTGGGGTCATAGTAATTGTTTAATAAATGCTTATTTTGGGGCAGCTAGGTGGTGCAGTGGCTAGAGCTCCAGCCTTGGAGTCAGGAGGACCTGAGTTCAAATTCGACCTCAGACACTTGACACATACTAGCTGTGTGACCTTGGGCAAGTCACTTAACCCCAATTGCCTCACCAAATAAATAAATAAGTAAATAAATAAATGAATGAATAAATGCTTATTTCCTTGCTTTGGGTGGCTATCTTCCAAAAACACCAACTCATGAGCTCCAACTGGTATGCTTCACCTTAAAATCAGTCTGTATATTAGGATCTTTAGCAAAGGTATATACTCAAATGGCATTGCAAGAACTGTAATTACAAATAATTTTCCAAAACATTAAGGGCTCCCCTTCCCACAAATACTTAGAGTCTGCAGGGGAAACAGTGGGCAGGAAAAGAAAGTAGAATGAAAGGAGGAGAGGTGTGTAGGGGCACCTCAAATGCCAGAACTGCAGGTCACTGATGTTCTTTCTCTAGAGGGTGATCCCAAAGTTCACTGTGAGCCACTTTGCTCTTCAACTGGTCTAGCTCTTCACAACTCACAGTATTCCAGCTGGACTGTGGCTCAGTGAGTCTTCCTTTTCCTAGGGAGTTATCTCTGCTGGAAGGGCCAATCTACTCTTAGACTACATGAGGCAGGTCATTTAGTGGCTATGCTATTTCCTTAGCAGGCTATGTAGTTGCTACACTTGGATGAGTAGGATGCTTTGCTGCTGGACAGCAGTGGCAGTGGCAAGTAGTTTGCTGGACAGTGATGGCCAGATGGGACCAGCATAACCACTGCGGAAAGTGCCAGGCAAGCCAGTGCACGGTTGCTGATGCCTGGTGCTGGGGCAGGCTATTCTGATACCAGGTTGCAGCTGCAGAACAAGGTCATGCAATCAGCAGCCATGCCCAAGCTGGGAGAGGCAGGCCATTCTGACACTGGGCGCTTCTCTGGATACAATGTCCCTGTTGGACAGGTTGACCCATTGGGCTCCTTGGCTTGCTCCTCAGTAGGTAGTTATTGAATTATTTTTTTCCACCTTCAGGTATTGGTTAGGCTGAGGGATATGCAATCTCTTTAGCTTTGCTGTTGTTTAGTCCTGTCCCACTCTTTGTGATTCAGTGGACCATATTGTCCATGGAATTTTCTTGAAAAGATACTGGAGTGATTTGCCATTTCCTTCTCCAGTGGATTAAGGCAAACAGAGGTTAAGTGACTAGCCTAGGGTCACATAGCTGGTAAGTGTCTGAGGCTAGATTTGAACTCAGGTCTTCCTGACTCCAGGCTCAGTGCTCTAACTACTGAGCTATTTAGTTGCCTCTCCCTATAGCTAAAGTGTTACTTTGCTTTTTTACACTGGAGTGCTACAAAATCTTTTCTCGTTAGGGCACTGCTCCTTAGCTTGGAAACTTCTTTTGGTTCTCCCAGAGCCTGAGCTTTGGAATTTGTAATTACCTCTGGGTAGGAAATGAGAGAAGACTTTCTTCCTGCTCAAAAGCTCCTTCCCTACAGAAACCCCATGATCTCTTAGGGGATCAATACTTTTTCACATTCCATACTCCTTTTTGGAGTATGGGACAACTACGTCAGTGCATTCTAAGCCATGGAGATGGGTTCATTGTTTTGTCAGCTTCTTTCTTCATATAAAATTAAGGTATATAAGTCTTATACTCTTTTTAGGGTAGGAAATGTCTATTTTGCATCTGAAGGCTTTCCCCTTTATCTTTCAATGACTGTCTTTTAGCTTCTTCAGATCTCCAGCTTTTGCTGAAATCTCACTTGGACACCCCTGTTGACCTAACAGAACAGGACTGGAGAGTGGAGTTTTCCCTTACTTAGTTTTAATAATCACTTCAGAGGAAGGAGAGAGAACAAATGTAGAGGAGGGAGGTGTCTGGCTTTCCGTAACACATGCAACAGCAATGTAACCACAGCAGTAGTCTGGTGGCATGAAACATACCTTGTTCTGGGAGATTGGAGAAGTAAAAGCTAAAGTGACAAAATAGGAAAATTTTGATTATTATTATTTTTAAAATCTCTGGTGCTTGCTTAGAGAGGCTGGAGTGCAGAGGAAAAAAAAAGAGATATTCAGGAACTGGTGGTCTTTGTCCCCTTCTCTGGTTTTATTTAAAATGGGAGTGACTAAGAATTCATGACCAAACAGGAGATAGAGAACATTATGAAAAGCAAAATGGATAATTTTGATTACATTAAATTGAAAAGTTTTTGCACAAACAAAGCCAATGCAACTAAGATTAGAAGGAAGGTAGAAAATTGGGAAAGGATTTTTACAACCAGTATCTCTGATAAAGGCCTCATTTCTAAAATATATAGAGAATTAAGACAAATTTATAAGAACACAAGCCATTCCCCAATTGAGAAATGGTCAAAGGATATGAACAGGCAGTTCTCAGATGAAGAAATTATAGCCATCTATAGTCATATGAAAAAATGCTCTAAATCATTATTGATTAGAGAAATGCAAATCAAAACAACTCTGAGGTACCACATCACACCTATCAGATTGGCCAACATGACAAAACAGGAAAATGATAAATGTTGGAGAGGATGTGGGAAAATTGGAATGCTAATACATTGTTGGTGGAGTTGTGAAATGATCCAACCATTTTGGAGAACAATTTGGAACTATGCCCAAAGGGCTACAAAAATGTGCATACCCTTTGATCCAGCAATAGCACTTCTAGGGCTATATCCGAAAGAGATCAAACAAATGGGAAAAGGACCCACATGTACAAAAATATTCATAGCAGCTCTTTTTGTGGTGGCAAAGAATTGGAAATTGAGAGGATGCCCATCAATTGGGGAATGGCTGAGCAAGTTGTGGTATATGAATGTAATGGAATACTATTGTTCTATAAGAAATGATGAACAGGCTGACTTCAGAAAAACCTGGAAGACTTATATGGTCTGATGCTGAGTGAAGTGAGCAGAACCAAGAGGACTTTGTATACCATAGCAGCCACGTTATGCAATGACTAAGAATGTTAAACTGAACCCTTCTCAGCATTACAAGGATCTAAGACATCTCCAGAGGCCTCAGGATGGAAAATGCTGTCCACATCCAAAGAAAGAACTATGGAAGTCGAATCACTCTCACTTATTTTTACCTTCAGTTGAGTTCTGTTTCATCTTTCTGATAGTTCCTCCTATTGATTTTAATTTTTACTTACAACTTCACTAATGTGAAAATATGTTTAATGGGTATATAAATGTAAAGCCTATGTCAGATTGTGTGCCATCTTGGGGGGCGGAGAAAAAGGGAGAAAAAAATTTTCAACTCAAAAGCATATGGAAAAAAAATTAAAATTAAAATTAAAATTAAAAAAATAAAATGGGAGTGACTGACATACACTTCTTAGGCATGTTCTTTTATTCTGTTACATCAAGGATTCTTAACCTGGGGCTTGTGAAATTTTAAAAAATGTGCATTTATATTTCGATTAATTGGTTTTCTATATACTTCATTTTATTCATTCAAAAACATCATTCAAAGAAGAGGTTCAAAGGTTTCACCAAGGATCCTAATGTTAAAGATATCTCATGATCTAATTTTATTTATTACAAACACCCATGAATGCGTGTGTCCTTTGTATTTTCTTCTGTCCCTTTGTTTGAGGTGTGAGGGATGCTGGGGGGTATTTCTGGAAGTCACATAGGCAAGAGTGATTTTTCCTAGTGCAGGGATGAGATCCCAACTCCCAGTCCATGGTTAGAGTTTTCTGTCTCCAGCAGGAGCCATCATGTGCTTCATAACTATACTTCTAGGGGAAGAATTATTATGAATTTGGGCCTTTTAAATTTGCTTCATTAGATCATGATGCTAACACGTTATATTTGTGTTATACTTGAAAAAGAAAAGAATGATTTAAATTCCTTGAGGGTATCTAGGTGCTGTGATGTATAGTGAGTTGGACTTGGAATTAGACCAGAGTTCAAATCCTGCCTCAGATATTTACTTAACTTCATGACTTTGGTTAAGTCATTTAAGCTCTTTCAGTCTCAGTTTCTTTACCTATAAAATTGGAACCAATCTCACAGGATTGTTGAGGATACCAAATTAGATAACATGTAAAGCTCTTTGCAAATCTTAATGTGCTATAAAAATGCTAGCTGTATCATTATTACTATTATTATTATTTTGTCTTTGCATACCATATATAGGTGCTTAACAAATTTTTTTGTCCTTAAAATTTAATTTTTTTTCTTTTTCAATAGAATGAAAATTTGTCTGTATCTCTTTTTTGGGGGGTAGGGGTGGGGAATGGTGGTAGTAGAAGAGGTCACAGCACCATACATGAGGAATAGATCATAAAAACATACAATTTTGAGATGCAAAAGGCTTTAAAGAACATTTAGTCCAAACCTCTAATTTTATAGAATAGGAAACTGAGGCTCAGTGAGATGAAATGACTTACCCAAAGTCAGAGCATCATGGAATTTGAGAATTGGAAGGTATCTCAGTGGCATACTACTTCAACTCATACACAAAAGGTACCCCAATATAACACACCAGAGAAGTCATCCTATCTGTGTTTGATGGCTTCTAATGGGGGAGAATCAACTATATCCTGAAGCAGCCCATTTCACTTTTCCAGATATGCAGTTATCCCTTCCACATCATGGGGGCTAGGGATGCAGAGACCCCATGATCTGGAAAATCTACATAAATTCTTTTGGCCCTCACTTTGTACCAGAGAAGATGCCTGAATTTTTTCTTTTCCTTTTATGGGGTGTTTATAGTACCTTATTGTAAAATTTGGGTTGATATTCTATAATACTATACATATATTTTATGCATTTCTGAGTTTCTAACTTTTTCTGTGTCATCTGCTGGTCTTTGTGTATTGTCTGTGGCTTCTGCAAAACTCCCTCCAAATTTCCATTTAATTCCTTATGCTGACCCATGATGTATCAAAACTGAGATGGGGAAAGTTGTGATATGGAAGAAATTACTGTATACTGACCAGGGTAGAGCATAGTGGAATTACCAAGTCTTTAGCCCTATAAACCATGTTTCTCTTTATGCAGCCTAAGATCTCATTAGCTTTGTTTGTTTGTTTTACACTGATTCATATTGAATTTACAGTCCACCAAAAACATCCAGATATTTTTCACACTGTTGTATAGTAATGCCTCCCCAATTATGTAATTGTGAAGTTGAGTTTTTGAATCCAAGTGTACAACTTTACATTTATTTCTGTTGAATTTATTGTTTCTTTCAGTCTAATTCTCCAGACTATATTACTTTAGGGAATAGTCATATCAGTTAAATCATAGATCCATTTGCATGTCCTTCATTTTGTAAACTAACTTTATATAGCATCCCTTTGACTAGCATTCTGAGGCACTTACAATTTACATAATTTACTAAACCTTGATTTTGAAAGTTTCGTATAACTTCCATGAACAGAGCTGTAATCAGGAATTTTTGTTGCTGGAGCAAGTGTCACAAATATTGCTTGTGGTAAACTGATGAGACGGTTAGTTGCATGAGAAGAGTGAAGCAAGGAAGAATTTACTCCCATTTGCCATCTGCTAACTCTCCATGTTTACTAACTTCTCGCTAAATAGATGTTATGCTTGTCTGTTTCTATACTGTTGGAGTCAGCAGGGTACAGTGGAAAGAGCCCTGAATTTAGTCCAGAGGACCTGAGTTCAAATTCGGCACCCATTATTTACTGTTTTGTGCCCCTGGACAATTCACTTCTTTTACCTGGGCCTCAGTTTCCTCATTTGTAAAAGGAGGGGTTTGGATTAGAAGGCCTAGTGTCCCTCCTAGATCTAAATCTATTATTTTGTGACTACAAGGACTATCATTGTCCTGTAAATGTGGTACCCTAGGACAAAGTCAGTTACTTTATCCTGGTAATGGATCTGTCTTCAGACGTCTGTTCCATGAAGTGCATCGTCTGTATTTTCAACTACATAAAGTTGACTTTTAGGTTTTTAAAAGAATTCTAAATCAGGATTTGACATGAGCTAGTAGAAGATATGTATCAAAACACAGAAATTCTTGTTAGAAAGCCTTGAGACAACACTTAGTTTTTTCAGGAAGGTTTGTTTTTGGTTCTATTTTTTTAGGTGTTGCTTATTCTACAAATGTCTCCATCCCTGAGTAAGATAGCACTATGCAGCTTCTCTTTCCTACACCTTTTCTCAAATCTGAAGGTTGCTTTGACCAGAGTTGGAAGTAGGAATGCTTTTTATGAACAAAGGAAGTTCAGTTTACTGCCTTAGTCTCATTCTAAATTAGCTGGTAAATGGAAAACAATGTTGCACAAATGATTAATAATATTGAACACAGTCATTTAAAACACCTTTTCTAGGGGCAGCCAGATGGCACAGTGGATAGAGCACCAGCCCTGAAGTCAAGAGGACCTGAGTTCAAGTCTGGCCTCAAGCCAAACATTGACACTTACTAGCTGTGTGACCCTGGGCAAGTCACTTAACCCCAATTGCCTAAAAGAAAAAAAAAGAAAACACCCTTTCTCACTTCCTTTTAGTGAGACGGATATCTTTACTATATTGTGTAAGAATCTTCAAAGAAGGAATACAAATGTGATTCTGATTTTTTAACAAAGAATATAAATTGATTTTGGGAAATATTATGCATTGTAGAAAATTTATAAGATAAATTCAAAGTAAAGCTCTTTGGCTCACAGAACTTTTTATCTTTAACAAAGTACTAAGTTCAGGGTGGAAGATAAACAGGTATAGAAGCTAATGGAATTATATTAGAGTGTAGTCTTTTGCAAAAATTAAAAGAATTGAGTATTTTTTCAAATCTTTCACAGTTTTGAGCGAGGCTTGTCTACTAGTAGAAACACAGTAGAAATTTGTTTAGGTTACTGTAATGTAATTTTTTAAGAGGTCAGACTTTTACTAGTTCAATGCATTTTTTAAAAAGCAAGATGTATTAATAGTTCTAGTTCTGCGGAAATTTACCTAACTAGTAAAGTGATTGAATCATGTGGTGATTTAGGTTGCATTTATTCCCTGTCCTAAACTCATATCTTCTTCTTTTAAAAAAAATATTTTTAATTTATGGAATAAACATAAATGTAAAATTATGCTATATATACTTCTGTTTATCAATTCTTTCTCTGGATGCAGATCTTTCTTCATTTTTCCTTTATAAAAAAGTTAATTTGCGTATTTATAATAGTCAAAAATGACTTAGTCGCTCAAAATTCTTAAAGCATTACTGTTACTATATACAGTGTTCTCTTGGTTCTGCTCATTTCACTCTTCATTATTTCATGCAAGTCTTTCATTGTTTTTCTAAAATCATTGAGTGTATCATTTCTTATATCACAGTAGTATTCCACCATAATCATATACCACCACTTGTTCAGCCATTCCCCAATTGATGGGCATCCTTGCAATTTCCAGTTCTTTGCCACCACTAAAGGAGCTGCTATAAGCAGTTTAGAACGTATAGATTCTTTTCCTTTTTCTCTAATCATCTTTAGAAATAGATCAAGTAGTGGTATTGCTAGGTCAAAGGGTATAGGTAGTTTAATAACTCTGGTCATAATTCCAGATTGCTCTCCAAAATGATTGGATCATTTTACAATTCCATCAGCAATGAATTAGTGTCCCAATTTTCATCTCTTCTTTCACAGGCTTTTTCTGCAAAAAATAATACTTTAGTTCTTCAAGGATTTCATCTATATGAGTGTGACCATATGAAATCAACAGAGATTTTGAATTAAAAAGGTCCTTAGAGGGCATCTAAACCATTCATTTTACAGATGAAGAAAACGAGGTGCATGCAGATAGTTTAAGTGATTTGATCAAAAGAATGTAGGTAGTTAGTGGCCAGAAGTGAGATTCCGACTCAGGTCCAATAACTCCAAATACAGCATACCTAACTGCTATTATTTTTAAAAG